TCATCTTTACAGCGCTTCGCAAGTCCACTGCTGAACACAGGCATTCCCCAATGAATGCCACAAAGCACGATCCTGGGCTACCTGCATCCATCGACTTCCTACACGTCTTACCAGGTCGTCATTCCTAGTGGGGAGACGGCCTACACTTCGTACACCGGTACGAGGCCGCCACACGACAATCTTTTTCCCATCGGTTGTCGGTTCTTCGAGCTATATGGCCGGTCCATTGCCACTTCTACTTACTAATCCGTTACAATACTTGACCAGCAATAACAACAGGCTTAGCTCTACAGGCCATTTAACATCAGATGATCTGTGAAGCTCGTGTTCTGTTATAATCTTAAAATTATGAGTGGTGTATTGACATTTACCGGAATATTAAACATTTTAAGAATCAAGAAAGTAAAATGTCTTAACGAGGTTGTAGCAACTGATAGGTAACACAATACAGCCATCTTGATTAAGCCGATGCAAAATATTCAGAGAGACCACGAGAACCTGCGTCATACTTACTCCAGCCAATTATAGAAGCCGCGTTCAGGGAGCACAGTGGTTCATGTGTCGTCGGTGTCAGTCGTCGTTGTAAAACCATTTACAATCTTTTTAGTAGGTGATATTATAAAACTATTAAAGAAAACAACGATCTGGAAATTTTCAAAGCATTTTATTTATGACCTTTAACACTGTGTATAATATATTTTGATAGTACATTTAGAGCAATGAGTAATATTACCGATCATTACATCGTTCTTATTTTCAAAAATTGAATGAAACCCATAAATTATATATAGAATATTAATTTTTAAAATATCATTCTCACCCAACAATCAACAATCACTATCGAAATCACAAGAATGGGCCGAGAGCAGCGGCGGTCGGATGCGGGCACGCCCCGCTGGGGTCCAGCGCCCTCACGCGTCGGTACACAATAATAAAAGCATTAAACAAAACTACATACAGGCCCCGTCGCGCTTCCAAGTCGTTCCATAACAATCGACAATCGTAAATAAATTACGTAGAACAATGAACCTAATGTCAAAATAACAGCTAGTCCTATAAAAATAACAGTATAGCTTAAAGAGTACACTATAAAAATATATATAATCCAGCTTAAGCTGTTATATATCTAATTTTAAAAGTTCTTTTGGATCTATAAAAATATAACCAAACGAGAAGCTCTGCGCGCACAAGAACTCAAGAGAAGAACATTATAAGAAAAATATTTTACATCCTTCGCACGGCACTCCCGTGATTATTTTCAATTCTGCTCTCTTTTAACTACATAAACACCATTTTGCTATGCAAAATACATTACCCTAGTATATAGAAAAAAAAAAGAAATAATTTACAAACTTTGGAATGTTATAAAAATGACTAGAAAAGAAAGATTATAAATGTAGTTTTATGTAGCACGAGATCGTTTCATTTGATACAGTTATATTGAGAGCATCACACTCATAGTTGCATCGGCGTGGAGAAGAGTTAAGTTTTGAAGAAATTTTAACAGCGAAAGATGAACGAAGTAGGTTGAGCACACCGTCAAAGTTTCACTTTATTAAATTATTTTCCGATTTTAAATGAAAGAACGTGTTTGACGTTTTGCTTCAAAGATAAACATTTACAAATTACTCAATAATCTAACGACAACTAATGTATTAAATTTTCAATTGTTAAGAAATATTATAACACACAGCATGTCCTAAATTTTGGTTAATACTTTTTCATCTTACACCTATTTAATTCTAAACTAAATTATTATCAGAATATTCTAGTGTTCAGCCGAGTATTTGTCTACGGTCAGTGTGTAAGCCGGTGTAGGTGACTTCAGACACGGAGGAAAGCATGTTTTTTTTATTTTAACATTTATTTAAATTATATATAAATAAATACCACATGATCTAGTCAAAGATATTATTTACAACGACTAAAATTCACTTAAGCTTACAAAATTGTCATGAAATATAATCTATTAATGCTCGTACTATTCGAACGAGAAATATTCACTTATTAGCGATAGACAGTACAGTGACATCCATATAATATATTTGTATTTAACATTTATTTAAGCGGTAACGAGAGTAAGACTGCTTGGACTTATAAACAGACGGTTGAGATATAGAAATTAAAGACGATAGAACTTATTGTTACACAAAACTACTGTCACATCGATTACCTAACTACTGTGATACGAACGTATATAATTACTTGTATTACATTGAACTAAGGACGTGGAGTGTACGCTTGTACCGCTCGATTTCTCAGCGCGGCAATACGTCACTGAACTAAGAGATGATTGTTGCAGCACAGCATATTTTTGTAACTATGCAGCTAACCTATCACATACAATGTACCTACGAGAGTACATGACTAGACAAATTTTTGCGGAATGGTTTTTAGTTGTGACAAAACTGAACGCGACCGCACCTATTTGAGAAATAGCCCTGACACTATACGGAAAACATCCCAATAACCTACTTTATACAATCCAACCAATAAAATTATTGTATCTAGGAACTGAATTAAATGATAATAACCGTTACAACACAAATGCCAATTAAATACATGTGATCAACTTACAAGAAATGTCCAAACTACCAGTTTTGCTACGACTACTTCAATTCAATTTTCACGTTTATAAAAATATTATAATGTATTTACAATCAATGCTAAAGTGAAACGAAAGGTTACGTATGACATTGTATGGACTCTTGCAATTAGCCTGTTCGTGTTCAGCCTCACAAAATATATTTAATCTACTGCTCGGGTCATACGTATATACAAGGTAAAATACAATAATAATGTATCCAAAGTTAGGGGAAATTTTAATACAGATATTTTCTGTTTTCTTTTCACAATAAAATTTTTAAATCCTTGCAAGTTGTTGTAACACTGGTGTCAAATATGTCGTGATTCAAATTTCGATTTCGCCGAATTGATACATTTGTGCGCAACGATCTTTTTAATCTTTTAGATTTTATTTATTGCACATAAATCGAAATTTCATAAAGTATAGATGGAAAACATTATAAACAAATCAGTGTGCCACGATAACATGAGACGAAAAAAGGCCTCATAAATTACGGACGAAATGCAATATATAAGCATCTCGATAAATTGCTTGTTCTATATTTGGCAATGGGCAGGCACTCATAATATCGTGGCAACAGATCGTTTGGAGATGATGATGTATTTCATTAATTATATAAATAATACGCACCCTAAACTAGATATTGAAACAGCTCAATTTGCAATTCATGTTATTATTGTATCTGTTATACTCGCTATAAATATTTCATTTCTTTACCCCGCCTCCCGATTTATCAGTGCACCGGTTTGGTCCCAAACTACATGCATTTGACCTTGAGTATATTTAAAACTATGTCGAATAATATAAAATATATATATTTAACATATATACATATACATCTATTTACGTATAGACCGTATAGCGCATTAAATGCATTTTTATAATACTGCTAACAACTTTGGGATATGCTAAAATAATTGATTCTTCGTTTATAAGTGATGAAAAAAATTAAAAATCATATGAATCCTTTATATTCAAGTAAGGTTCACTTAATACATTGTATATTGAGGGTAATACATAATAGTATTCATATATTAAACATTTTATTTAAAAAATGCAAATTAATCGAAAAACTGAATTCGTAGCATATTGAATGTTGATTTTCCTACGAATCTTTAGTATCCCCACCAAACCAGTCACGGGAATTTTACTCGTTGATTAAGACTTTACGTGCTCATCACCGTCTTTACATGTCAATGATCTTATGTATACAATATTTTTCATATAATATCAAATGATTGGCAAGATCTGGCACAGCGATAAAATATTACAAAAGTATTAAGTATAATAATTACAATATTAAAATGTACTAAACTGCACGCCTACAGAACGGCATGTTTGGCACTTAAGATTAAGTCTGTCCTATACAGGAAGCTAACAGTTATTAAGTATACACAGCTTAAAAAAATAGCTTGAAAGATAACATCGAACCAAACATGTCGAGCTGAAAGTGTGTGTCAAGAATCAAGAATTGAAACGTGTTTTTCCAAATGTTAAAATATTTTTTTGCTCAAATTTTCTTTCACTTTTAGACTGTACCTAAATTAAAGCTTAATTGTCTTTTATTTTTGATTTATAGTACTAAATTAATAATACTAAATAGAGTTTACGTCGCTATAGAATGCAGCTGCGATTATAATTATTAAGTATTTTATGAACAATTTATTTTTCAATATATTAATTTTACAACATTGATAGAAAATAGAAATTAGACAAGTGATTAATACGCCACAAAATCCGTCGTTAATTTTATTTTACTTTAGCAAAGGGCTAGACGACAAAGTGGAAACGTGGATCCATCTACACAACATTTCATTTATATTTTAATAGTTTAATAGTCAGTTAATACTTGCAGTTTACTTGCATTACGAATATTTGGATTAAGAGAAGCAACATTTTTAAGAATTTATTGAAGTAATAAATTTACGTGTGTAAACAAAACTTATTAAATTAAAGTAATGAAAACGGATTTCATCGCTTACACACTTTAACGATATAAAGAACGCTCAGGGTCGGTCCTGATTCCATTTTGTCGACTGTGCCACGAAATAATATTATACAAAACCATTGAGTTATATGTACTACGTACTAGAAAAGCCATCCCAAACAAAAATTGTGTCCTATTCTTCACTATTCTTATAAAATAAATATTAGAATTTAATATAAAATATCTTATTTTAATCTAAACAAACATATTTTTAAATAAAATGTAATAATAATTATTTTATGGAATTCACAAATCTTCAATTTACGCAATATTTAGTTTGTACGGATTGCAGTACAGTTGAGTTGAACATAGTGAATGTTCGGAATACGAAATCTAGTGCGTAGTACACATATATATATATCGATGTACAAAACAAAGGTACGGTGTGAGTAGAGCGGTGTGAGCTTGGTAGGGTTAGGAGCCGTTTCAATGTCCGTTAGCGGTGCGTTGGGCGGCGGCCACGCGCCTAATAAACGAGTGTAGCGTCCAGCTGCGCGGCTCATGCGGGCGCCGCGCCGGGCGCCGCGCCGCGCCGCGCCGACCGCGACCTGTGCCCGCACACCTTACGCGTGTACATTACGCTGTGCGCGTCGCGCGATTCGTATTCCCATTCAACACCCTTCGCTGATAAAAGCCGCGCCGCCACTCAATCCACTACTATACCATTCACGCCTAATAAATCGCGTTTAGCAAACCGAACGGGGTCTTGAACGAGTAACCAGTTAATCGTTATTGTAAGTACTTTTATCAATATTTGCATTTTATTGTATAAATATTTGTTAACGCATGTTTACTTTATAAAATTAGTCAACCGAAATTACGAAAACATTTTGTGTATTATAGAAACGATTATGAATGTTATAATTATTAATCACTTTGTCTTTATAATAACACGTAACAGAAATACTCAATCGTTGACTCGTGAGTAAAGATGTTTGTAAAAAACATTGAGCTTTCACTTTATAGGCATGAATAGTACAGCTACAGCATTATTGAGCAAAATATTAGCCTCTTTTATCAGTGAAGGATAATAATTTCTAAAATGACTACAAATAATTACTATAAAGGGAACAAAAATCGCTACGAAAAAAAAGCATAAAACTACACAATATACAAATAAATACAAATGGAAAAAGATAATTTAAAAGTAACGTTGTTTCTGCAGTAAAGGAGCGTAAAGGAGAATAGTTAAAAAGATGAAAAATAAATCTATAGTTGACTGCTACAATTAAAACTTATTTTATTTAAACATACACGCAAACTGAATTGAATAAATAAAACCCACCAAAACATATACCTATAAACCAACGTTACTTAAGACGATTCTGCTGCGCCAATAATTTTAGGTTATCTGCGAATCCACCCGTCACATGTTCGCGCCAAACGGAACAGTTTTCGTGTTTTTTTTTTTAATTCAAACACCCATCGATTTGTGATAAAAGTACGTTAATACCTAATTGTAATACATATGGTCGCAGCAGACCCGACTTTCTACTAAGTTGAAATAATAACACTGAAATAATTTTTCCTTGGCTACAGATACAACGTTCAGAAAGCCAAATTTCTCAGTGTAAAGTACCCAAGAATAAAGGACAATGTTAAAACTCGCCTAAGAACCAACATATATTTGACTATTACCAAAATTCTTATCCTTAATTATGCATTAGATAATATTCATTAGATAGTAACCGACACTTGAACTGACTTGTGAAATCAAAATAAAAAGGACTTTTTCGATTTTGAACTTTGTACCTATTTTTTAATACTATTGTGCTTTGTGTATGGCCTCCTGTGATTTGGCCAATCGCACAATACCTTTATTCACATATTTCAAAAGTTGTCATAAACTCAAATATATTATGAAAAAGTTTATATTTTAAAATATATCTCAGATTAATATATGCCACAAGGAACTGGGGTACAGTGAAATCATCTATTTTCATTTAAAATAACAATACTTTTGTCATCTCATTGGCAAATCAGCATTGTGCCACGCAAAAAAACGTCAAAAACGTTGACAGATGACAACAAGTCAAAATAGATATAGTGCCACCAACTTATCTGTTCAGGTGGACAAAATTGGAACTAAAACCACCATTTTGTAAATGACATTTCGCTGTCAGCTATTATTTATTCTGAGCTATCAGGTGAGTGTTTTTAAAAAGTGTAAATAAATCTTAAAAGTGATGCGCGATAGATTACCCTTAAAGTTTTATCTTTTATGAAAGAAGAGAAACGTGTAAAAGTCCCAACTATACCATTTGAAAACCTGTATGAAAGCATTGCTGCCGTGACAGGTTAGTATTGCCAGATATGGAAAATTAAAATCACCAAATAATGTACTTGTGAAACAGTAAAAAAATTATCTCAATTTACTGCAATTCATCTAAAGTACCTAACTTTGTAGTTTGTGCTGCTAATGTTCTAATGCCCCAATTAATTGAAGATTCATTTCATGAAATTACACCGGTTCAGTGGAAAAACATTTGTAATCATGTAAAAAAAAATTGAAAATGAATAAAGACTAAAAGACGTATTTAAATGAACCCTTTATTATAGAGGGTCAGAGAGATAGTGAAAGCGATTCCAGTGACTCAGGAGATGAATTTTTCGAACCAGTAGCTAACGCGGGTAAATTTTTCAAAACAGAAATTCCTAGAATCCGGCCGCTTGAACTCGGAGATCACGACCACAATTATTTTTATAAAATATAAATAATATATATTATAACACTAATTCTCACTAATTTTAATATATTAACACGTAATTTGTTTTATTTTATTTAATGTAATGAATATGTAGTTACATATTTCCTCGGTAAATTTCTTAAATGGCAATAGTAAGCACTCCACTAGCGACGCTGTTAACTGAACAGATAAGTTGGTGGCACTATAGACTATTGTTTTGGTTTCGTTTGAAAAAATACATTTCTGATTTTGAATCTAAGTGCACTCTGTAGTTGCTTTGTATACGATAAGTTTATATAAATTACGAACAACGGCTTGAACAACGGATACAATGTTTCATAAACATAAAACATAACCTCAAAATCTCTATGATAACTGCAAATATCTAAGTTTTCAGAAGTGTCCGTCAGGAGTTATTGTTCTTACATGAACATGTGTAATTTCGGACTTAAAAAGGTTTTTTTTTTCACTGTTGGTTCTTGATTGTATGGACGCAAAACATTGTCCTTTCGACTAAGAATATGTTTAGTATTAAACCAATTGATGGCGACGTAAGCATTCTAGACATTATCAGTCTTCGAATATCCAGACCATAAGAGGTCTAATATTGCAGTTGCCAACACTTTTGATTGGCAAAATGTCAAGCAAAATATCGCCAAACTTATATAGGAATGTTACTTATGAATGGAATACGATGATGCGAATATTTGTAAAATATCTGACCAAATCTATTGTTAAGATCACAGCCAAAGTCATCATTTGTGCAAATTACAAATACTTGGTTTTCGGCTCTCGGTATCTCATATTTGTAAGGGGAGGAGCCACGCTGCATTTATATTACGGCTGCAGCTCGAGTAGGTTGGCTCAATCGGGGAAGAACCACGCTTTTACAGAATATCAGCGTGAAAAGTAGCTTATTGCTGTTGTGTTTCATATAGTGAGTAGAGAAAGATCCTTTTTACTGCTAACGATGCATTCCATCTTAGTCTTTAGGAGTGAAAATTCATTTAGGTTTTTTATGTTTTAACATTTTGATTCCTAATCGATGATGGATGTAGGTATTTATGGGTCACAGTATCCACTTACCATCAGGTGGACTGTATGCCCGTATGTCACCCTAACTTCTATAAAAAAATGTGGGTACGATATCTTAGGTACTACTTTTTAGCCCATCTCCAATTTTCACTCATAATTCTTCATCGGGCGGGTATATAAGGAAAAGTGAATGACTCTGTGTACACTTGCAGTAATAGAGAATGACCCTCAGTTGATAAAGCTTCAATAATAAACAAAATCGGTCAAGAAAACAATTTTTTTTTTCAAATCTTAGTTCACCTCTAATAAATTAGGGTGGTTCTGTATTTTTTTCCAGTAACTCCATCAATTATGACATGCGTGGTCACGGTATGGGTTTGGAGTAAGAGAATTCTTGTAAAAACGTCGTCAAACTAATAAGCATCCAGACATAAAATACCCACCGAAGACGGGAAGCAATGTCAAAGATGAGAGAAATCTGATTCTGCGATCGCCAATCCACGCGCCAAGCTTGGCGATTATGAAAAAATCGTTTATAGAAGAACTAATAGCAGAACTTTATCAAACAAGAATTTATTCAATATGTTACATGTATAAAAATAACCAGGAATTGCCAAAAGGTGGTTTGAATTATAAGGCATCTCACCTAATCTTTCCGGCGAGTAGAGGATTGATCGCGTACAACCAATCGTGGACTTCCTTGTCCCCGAGGGTTTGGAGAAGGTATCCGCGTTCCTTGCTCACCACACTGAAAAGGAATACATAAACAACATGAAAATGTTATATCTTGATATAATGTAAAGATAGATAAGATGCAAACAGCTGAACGTACACAAACAGAACCAATGCTCTATGTAAGTTCCTTCACTATTGGTCAGTAAGTAAAAGCTTATGTTAGTTAACTTACTGGTTTATTTACTTTGAAATACAGGTAGATGTTTATTACAATAATACATTATTCAAAAGTATACACAGCATTTCCATGTGGTAGTGCAATGCGGCAGCTATATTATAGTTGTAGCACGAATGGGTCGGCTTGACCGGGAAAGGACTACACTTTCCCAGAACACCAGGGAATTATAGCAGTTTGTTACTGCAGTGTTTCGTACAATAAGTGTAGAGAACCGGAGAATCTTTTTACTAGAAACAAGGCATTCCATCTCAGTCCTCAGGGGTGACAACGCATCTGCATTTTGAGTCTTAATTGAGGAATAAATGTAGAGATGTCTGTCAGCCATAGCATCCACATACCATCCGGTGGACTATGTGCTCGTAAATCAATCTTAGCCTTATTTATAAAAAAAGTGTTAAATCCTATTAAGGCCACCACAACTTGCTAAATAAGAAAAGTAAAATAGTTTAAAAAGTGACATGATATAACATAACACGTTACCTGAAGGTGTTAGGCATGCGGACCATCTGTTCCTGGTCCTCGGAGTACTCGACGTGCGCGTTGGCGAGGTTGATGACCGCGCGCTCGATGGGGTCGCGCTCGTCGCGGTAGATGAACACGTAGGGCCGGCGGACGACCTGCGTATACATATCATGTACTATTGCGTCGCATTCGACATCCGATCATAAACGTAAGCTTTTCTCAAGTTATATGATCCGATTAGTCTACATGTTTATATTGTCTCATCGTTCAGAACCATTACAGCCTATGAAAGTCCACTACTGAACATAAGCTTCCCCCATAGATCGACTCATACGGGGATTTTGCCATAGTTGCTAAGCTTGGTTTTCAGCGCATTATTATTTTGATTAGTTATCAGGAAGATGCTGCTGCCCATATCCTATTTCAGTTTCCTTCTAACGCCTCTTACGACACCCACGGGACGATATGAGGTAGTAGAGATATTCTTACACCCCAGCACAAGGTTAAGTTTTAGACCGTTTAATGCCATTTATGATCTAATACAATGAAGATATTTTTTTCAACAAAAACGTTTTAGAGAATACATTTCGTTTTGTTAGATATTATTTTGCAAATATAAAGAATATTTTTATTACGATCAAAACAAAATAACAAAAATTTATAATTAACACAAATTGTTCTGAATTATAATTACCTCAATGAGCTTTTAATCAGTTTAGATTCATTCAAAATTATGAGAATCGAGAAATTTTAACGCTTTATAGGGTTCCACAATGAAACAAGGATATTGCATCATGTAATATATAAAAATTAATATTTGTTTTTCATATTTTAAACGCTGCCATACCGTTCATCAGATTGCGCTGAAATTGTCAACTTATTGCTTACACTTACGCGAAGGTTATAAGCATAGTTGGACCCGGTAGATGGCGCTATTGTAGAATCCAGATATCACCCGTACGAAGCCAGGGCATATCGCTAGTAACTTATAGATTTTACCAATTTATTAAAAGGTTTTTTTTAAAGTTCCACAAACCAGCGCATCTAGACGTGTTTTTGATATCTTCGCCACTGCCGGGCAATGAAAAAAATAAATCAGTGCTTGATCGAATTATGTTCGTATGGACTAGTCTTTACAGCTAAAAGAAGTATTTTTTTTAAATATTTTATGCGCACGGATTAAGCATAGGATTGGATCTCTGTAACTTCCTATTTGGGTAATTTTTGTATGGCTTGTCAAGTCAAAAGGAAAATATTTTGAAGTGTTGATTTTTTCCATAATATTGAGTAAAATGTATTACAGCGTTTGACGTATTCTTTATGGCAGAAGGCCCTGTAGCCAATGCCACAATAAATGATGTTAAAGAAACTGTGCATCTCACCAGCCAGCGCTTCTTCCAGCCGTGCGTGCCGTGCTGCAGCACGTTGAGGTAGCCGCGGCGCGCGACGGCGGCGGACACGCGCACCTCCTCGCAGTCGGGCACGAACAGCGCGCCCGCGCCGCCGCCCGCCGCGCCGCCCCACGCCGCCATCTGCCGCTCCAGCAGCGCGCGCTCCGGCGAGCACAGCCTGCACCACACACCACCACGCCGACATGTTAGCCTGGTACTTACACGACCAAACGACGAACGTTTGCGTTTTAAATAGGAAGGTAAGGTATCTGCCACTTATGCCATTCAATAATATTCATGTAACACATGGTATTGCCACCAGTGTGAGCTTTTATGAACACAGCCTGCGGCACAATATCACGCCTTTATGTTACACAATACTTCTACAGTTTTTAACAGCGCGCACTCCGGCGAGCACAGCCTGCCGTGCACCAGCACGCCTCTGTGTTTAGTTTAATACTTCCACTTTCTTTTTTATATATCTGCCGCTTTAAGCAGCACGCTGCTGTTAGTACTGCTTAAAGCACACCACAACACCACAACTCTATGTTAGCCTAGTACTTCCATATTTAACTATCCGCCGCATCGGCGAGCACAGCCTGTAGTATACACCACCACGTCATGTTAGCCTATTACTTCCACATTTATTTAACTATATCTGTCGCTTCAGCAGTGCGCGCTCAAGCCAGCACAGCCTACCGTACAGCACGACGACTTTATGTTAACTTAGTACTATCACAATTTTTTATCCACGACCAAACGGAGAAGGTGTGCGTCTATTTTTAACTAGGTTATCTGCCGCTCCAGCAGCGTGAGGTCCTTCGAGCACAGCCTACCGTACAGCACGACGACTTTATGTTAACTTAGTACTATCACAATTTTTTATCCACGACCAAACGGAGAAGGTGTGCGTCTATTTTTAACTAGGTTATCTGCCGCTCCAGCAGCGTGAGGTCCTTCGAGCACAGCCTGTCATACAACACCACGGCTTTATGTTTGTCTAGTACTTCCACATTTATTTATCTGCCGCTTCACAAGCGCGCTGAGGCCAGCAACAGCATGCCTTAGACCACCAAGCGTTTATGTTAGCCTAATACAATTACATTTTTTTATCTACGGCTGCTGCGGTAAGCACAGTCTGTCGTACACCACAATAACTACGTTTTAATGTTAGCCCAGTACTTCTAATATTTTTTAACTATCTGCCGCTCCAGTAGCGCGTGCTTCGATTACAAGGAGCGCTAGCGGTTGTCCTCTCTCTCGAAGAACCGCTACAGAGCAGGTCTTACCAAGGCCTGGGCTCACATGATCATACATAAAATTTGTAAACACCTTACAATCTAAAATTATTTTTGAGCTTATATTAAATGTAATGTACTCACTCGAAACTACTTGCACTGTGGATGGACGATAAAAGGCTGGGAGTGGAAATATCGGCGGAGACGCCTTCGTCAACAGGCGAAGATGGTGATACGGCGGTTTCCACTTCTTTTCCACTCGATCCTATACGGCCTGAAATATAAAACAAAATTGTATTGTAAGGGTATTAGATCCGTTCCGATCTACGTAGTATGAACTTATAATATCATGAAGTCTTGCATACAACTGCAAGACTTCATGATATTTGCTTGGGTTGGGATTTCATTTTATTAATTATAGAACCCAAGCCGATGGTAGCACCCACCCATCTTCTGTATTAAAAATAGGATGTTTTTTTGGTTTAGAAGCCTTGCGAATCATCCTTGGAAGGAATCGGTGTTCTTTATGCCTATGCCACACGCATCGCGATAGAATTATCGTGATAAAACTTCGCCTTCGGCCTAGCGAGAAGGTGCCTGGCCACTGCGCGTTGTAAATTTTATCGCGCTAAACACACGCTAAAAACAAAATGGATGCCACGGTCGCTCTGTATTATATGGCAGCGAATAATTATTTTTTATTGTGTCAATTATTAAAAAATAAGAAAATCATATAAATAATAAAAGTACTGGCAAAAATACAAGAATACGCGTTCATTAGCACAGTAAAAATAAATATAGCGCTGACCTTGCATGAGCTTGATGTACTTGGTGGCGAGTTCGCGCTCGCGCGGCGACATGTCCCACGGCTCGTACACGGAGTCGTCGCGCGCGCCCAGCGCTCCCATCGCGCCGTGCGCGCACTCGCCCGCCGCCTTCGCCGCCATGTTGCACACCTCCTGCGCCACAGTTTACATTCTATATTCTTTGCTCACTAACGCGTATCATTACAAATTAGGTTTTCGTATTTAAAAGGTTAAACGGAGCCATATTAATGTATTCCTGTCTGTACATCAGTATGTCAAGGATCTTTAGCTCGAAGACGGAATGAGTATTATCACTTATTAGTTGTATTCGTTGATTATCACTTACTTACATTACGTAATAATTATCTGTATATTTGTCTCTTTCTATTATCATTTAGTAAAAAGAGAGATAGCGACTTTAAGCATTTCTTAAATGGACCTCGATTTTTATGAGTAAGGCGGTTAGTGTTGAATAATGTTATCCCTAAACCGAATATTGAATGAATAAAAAATCCAATTTAATTTTTTTAACATAGTAAGTGGGGCATCACTGTTTTAAATTCATTTAAATTTGTTTTTTATGTTCTTTTAAAATATTTTGTCTTACTCCAAAATAAAGAACGGAGACCGTGAATCTTGTCAGTTTTAACAATTTTTACAAATTCTCTCATACTAAAATAGTCAGAAATTTTACATTTACAAAAATACTGAAAATACCGAATGATAACTAGATAGTAACTTGTGCACTATGAGCAAAAGAAAATACTTTTTTAAGAAAAAGTTTAACTCTTTATATAATATTTAAGATACTTAGGGTACTTATCTTAAATATTATATAAAGAGTTAAACTAATAAAGCGAATCCAGACTCGCTCTTGGCCGGCTTTTCTTATTAGATGGCGAATGAATATACGTCCTACGACGATGTAATATCGGACATTGAGACTATCACAACACATCCTCGATTCTCGACCAGACTCGAAAACTAATAATTTGTGATTTTGCACAGTTTTGGCTCCGGCTCAGATTGAATCAACGTTCCTAGGAATAGTGAGTAAAAGTATCCAATCTATTTTATTAGTATTAGCTATAACTAGGGCAACCTTCTCTGTCTTGGTGAAGTCGTTGGGCGCGACGGTGTTCTCGTGACCGTGGCGCAGGCGCTCGCGTAACGCGAGGAAGTGACGCGTGCGCCCAACTTGCTCCAGTCGCGTCATCTTCTCCAGCTCCCACTGTATCCACAACATGCCAGTATATCAAAGTGCACACAGAGAAATAATTTTCGAAAACATAAAGGTTTCTTAAATTAAGTTGAATATAGTGAACGATATTTATTCCAACACAATTTTTCATTAAGCCTTTTCATTATTTTTTATTTTTCTAATTGTCTTATGGTTACTGTAAGGACTGCGAAACTAAAAGGTTGTAAGTACGAATTTGTTATACGATTACTGTTACGAACCACTCTTAGCACAATCATTAAAGGTTTAGCTGTAGTGTTTAACACTAATATTTAGTATGACAAGTTTTTTTTTTAATAAACACCATCATAATACAAAAATTTGGATGAATTTTTAAAACCTATTTTAAATTGCTTTATACTTTAGAAAATTTACGCAGTCTTTTAATTTGTAGTGGTTAAAAAAGGAATGTAAAATAATAGCCTTTAAACGCCCAACCACCGGGCACAAGCTTCCTCTCATTATTAAGACGCTGCTCTAATGCGTGTCAGCAGACTTCAATTGTCCTGTGATCTTTCTCATACATGCAGATATTTTCAGAATGTTTCCCTTTCATTTTATAAGGTAACCAAATTTACACCAGCTGTGGACACGAAAGGTTTTTTGCAATTGTGTTTGTTTTTGTTGTAATGCGAACGCTAAAGTAAAAAATAAACTATAAACGAATTATGACAGCAGCTAAGTTTAAGTAAACAAAACAAGTTTATAATATTTAGTATTTACGCAAACTGACAGAAGTACGGAACATCTGAAAAGCGAATGTGATCCATGTGTAAAGCGATAGCGCATGACGTGATATGGTAGCTAAAACCCGATGAAATATTTCAATAACAAAAAGTTCTATAATGTTAAAAAATAAGAGAACTATGTAAAATGAAATATATTGGAAAAAGTATTAATATAAAATGTTTCCATACTTATATACAACGTTTATCATAATAACCGTGTAATGTGTATAAAACTATTATTATATTACGTAAACATTTGAAGTTATACATAATTGTAGGTGATATATATATATATATATATATATATATATATATATATATATATATATATATATATATATATATTAATTAGTCCATCCAGAAATTTTTAGATTGCAAGGCTATAAGTATATGGATAAAAAATACTAATACATATGAACAATGTACCTGGTTACACAACAGAAAAGCAATGCTGATAATGACAAATTAATACATAATGATAAATAGGCGCCCCCATCCACATAAAAAAACCTGCCCTCGACATATTATGCATGAAAATGTGATGCACGAAATACCAGTACACAAATTAATTTTCGGTAGCTATTTAGTATGGAAATGACATTACACATTAGATGAATGATTGCGCGCTCGCACATACTAAATAGCTAAGGAAACATTTGTGGACCTGGGATCTATCGATAACGTCCAGCGGCCAATCATAAATCAGCTTGCGCACGATACGTCTCTGCTGGCGAGGAAAAATCATAATATCACATAAGGGTCTCAAGTCTAGTGAAAAATATAAAAAAAGAGAGTTCTATTAGCATAAATTTACGATATTTACTAGCAACCTACTGTTTAAACCAAAGCTCTAAAAGTACACAACCGTTTTTTTTGTTAGGAAAGCATCCGAACAATAAATTTTGAAGAAGCACATCATTCCACACTGTCTAAATGCAAATAAGGTTGATTAACCCGGCTCAGAGTTTACACTCATTTATATGACCTCGGAAGCGGACGAACCGAGCTTAGACAAACGAGAGTGATATATTTATTTATTTACAATTGAACCTTACATATCAGTATAGGATCAAAAGGTGGATTAATGCTAAAACATTCTATGCCAATCAAAATACTCTTGAGGCTTTTACGCTCTTATTCGAATAAAACTCGGGGAAGTGATTAATTATAGTATAGCGAATTTCATGAATGTATCTTTTAATTTTACGACTTTTTAAGTAAATATTAGTTAAATGTTCACTTAATGATAGGAAATACGAAAATCTAATTGCTATTTTCCCAACATACCAAGCAGTAATATATTGTCTCAAAAAATAGGACTAACAAGTTGTTGTTGTTGTTGTTGACCCGGAAATAATATTTATGTTAGGCTTGTAATAAAAAAATATACATAAAGTATTGCATTGCCGGAAGCGTATATTAGTATATACCTGATGGTCGAATATGAGCGAATCACCGCGTGGCCGCCAGCCGTGAAGGTTCTCCTCGCCACGCACGTATGTCCCGCTCGTGTCCAGGACTCGCCTTTGTCTACGCTGAACGCCTGCAAAACAAAAAAAAGTTATTCAACGCATTCTTGAAAAGGTCTATTTTCAAAATTCTATGTCAAACAGCTCTTGAAAAGGAAGAAGTAGCCGCGAATAATAAATAGTAAACTAAAAAATAAACCAAGAATCCTCGCAAAAGGACACCGATTCCTGCTAAGGATAATTTGCTAGAATATTTAAATTTAAAAAATATGCAAATTTCAATAGAGAAGATGACTGGGTAGCATCCATTTGTAATGATTAATAAAATAAATCCAAACTCAAGCATATCACTGCAGGATTTCAAGATATTATGTAAGGTGGTTGTGCGTACATTGAACCAAAAATTTATAATCAAAAGCTGAAGGTAGCTCGGGTTAACTATGACATCAGGACGTCAAACAACTCAGACGCCCGTGATCATGAAAAGTTGGGAATGAAAAGTAAGTAGAATTACGCGATAAAATCTGTAAAATTAGTTTTATTGTAATGATAAATTCATTATGGTAAAAATCATTTGCGCCTTGGTGGACAAGACGTATTTGAGGGAAACATGTTTTAATGTGGTAAGTTTAAATTGATTAAAATAAGCTTTAAATTTGTTTTTGATTCAAATATTAGGGGAATAATATTCGCATCCGTGCCGTGTTGTAGCGGTATAAGAATATACCTCTTACCTCATATCATACTGTCGGTGTCGTAAGAGACGATAAAGTAAACTGAAACAGCAGATGAGCAGTAACATCTTCCCTATAACAACTCAAAAAAAAAATATACAGCGGTTGCCAACCTGCATGCCAAGCGTAACAACTACGACAAATATTGCTTTTATGATAGTCTATGGGAAAGGCATAAGTTTAGTAGTAGACTTTTGATAGGCTGCAATGAATGAATAAACGTGTATAAATGATTGATTGCATGTGAATTAATAAATGATTTTTTTTTATAGGATACGGGTGACAAACGAACACACAGTCCACCTGATGGTAAGTGGTTGCTGCGGCCCATAGATACCTACATCTATCCTCTATTACAAATCAAAATGTAGATGCGTTGTTACCCGTGAGGACTAAGATGGAATGCCTCATTTCTAGTAAAAAGGGCCTCCGGCCACCTGCACTCACCAAGCGAAACGCAGAGGTAAACCTCTACTTCACGCTGGTTTTCTGTGAGGTCGTGGTACCATCCCGGTTCAAGCCGGCCCATCCGTGCGACAGCAAAAGCTGCCGTGTGGCTCTACCACGAATGATTGATGGAACGTGTTTGAACGAATGAATGAAGAAAGTGAAGGAAATAATGATGGCTGGCGGTACGTACCGGGCTCGAGCGCGCGGTGCAGGCTGAGCTCGTAGACGCCGGTGAGGTGGTCGTGGCGCGCGGCGCGCGAGCCGAACAGCGCGCGGCGCAGCGAGCGGCCCGCGCGCGCCTCGCGCCCCACCACCACCGCCGACAGGTCCTTGTGATGATGGCTGGCGGTACGTACCGGGCTCGAGCGCGCGGTGCAGGCTGAGCTCGTAGACGCCGGTGAGGTGGTCGTGGCGCGCGGCGCGCGAGCCGAACAGCGCGCGGCGCAGCGAGCGGCCCGCGCGCGCCTCGCGCCCCACCACCACCGCCGACAGGTCCTTGTGATGATGGCTGGCGGTACGTACCGGGCTCGAGCGCGCGGTGCAGGCTGAGCTCGTAGACGCCGGTGAGGTGGTCGTGGCGCGCGGCGCGCGAGCCGAACAGCGCGCGGCGCAGCGAGCGGCCCGCGCGCGCCTCGCGCCCCACCACCACCGCCGACAGGTCCTTGTGATGATGGCTGGCGGTACGTACCGGGCTCGAGCGCGCGGTGCAGGCTGAGCTCGTAGACGCCGGTGAGGTGGTCGTGGCGCGCGGCGCGCGAGCCGAACAGCGCGCGGCGCAGCGAGCGGCCCGCGCGCGCCTCGCGCCCCACCACCACCGCCGACAGGTCCTTGTGATGATGGCTGGCGGTACGTACCGGGCTCGAGCGCGCGGTGCAGGCTGAGCTCGTAGACGCCGGTGAGGTGGTCGTGGCGCGCGGCGCGCGAGCCGAACAGCGCGCGGCGCAGCGAGCGGCCCGCGCGCGCCTCGCGCCCCACCACCACCGCCGACAGGTCCTTGTGATGATGGCTGGCGGTACGTACCGGGCTCGAGCGCGCGGTGCAGGCTGAGCTCGTAGACGCCGGTGAGGTGGTCGTGGCGCGCGGCGCGCGAGCCGAACAGCGCGCGGCGCAGCGAGCGGCCCGCGCGCGCCTCGCGCCCCACCACCACCGCCGACAGGTCCTTCGTGATGATGGCCGGCCGCCCGCAGTTCTCCACCTGACACGTGCAACGAAACATTACAATGCATACGTGATAGAGCCATGCTGCTACTATGCTATGGTTGTATAGCACGAATGGATCGACTTCACCAGAAAAGGACCATGCTATCACAGCCTGAGAAGAACATACAGTCAGTCACCGCGTTTGATGTTGTCGAAATAGCCGATATAAACAATAAATTGTTAGGGTTGCCAGACGAAAGATAATACAAAAATGAAAAACTTCTTTTATTTTATTTCAAGTCTAAACAAATTAATGTGTATATGAAAACCGGTGAAACGAATGTCTTATCTTTAAATGAGGACGACCCACAGTTTTTACCGCACATGTAGTGTGAACCATTTTAATTTATTTGCATGACAGGACAACCTTAGCGGACAGTTCCCGGGCGACAAACAGCCGCTCAGGAATTTTCCATCCGCGTCTTGCCCCACACCGCACCGCACGATTGCCCCGTCTAAACCTTAATTTTTTGCTCCATAGAAATATGACAGCTGTCATTTTTTGACATTTCAGATGTTTTAAACATACTTAGGTTTGTTAAAAAAACAGTTTTGAAATCAAACTTACAAACACTCACGCCTAGAAAGAATCCAGTTAATTATCACACGTAGAAGAATTCAGTTAAGTTAAATTGTTAAAATTTGCAGGATATACTATAGCTTTTATTCACCATCGTAAAACAAACTACCTATCTATATTTTTCCGTAGGCACTTAACTTACCTATATATTTATAAAATTTCCCCAAAATCGATTTAGTAGTTTGGGTATGAAAATGTAACATAACAAAAATTTATTCAATTAGCCTGGTTAAGTTTCTTCATACCTAATATTACCTACATGTAAGAATAATGAGATAAAAGACAATGAGTAAATTTTACAAAATTTATTTATTCTGATTCATAATCTTGAAATATGGTTAAATAATCGTCATCATCATCACCTCCATTTACTATAAATTTATCACGGACCGAGTCAATCACATGATCAAGAGTGCACATTTTGTCCTCTTCTTTAATGGCATGTCTTATGCACTTTTGCCATTTATTTTCGGTGATATGTTATTCGTTCTAACAAGAGATTTTTTACTTCTGCCATTTTGAATGTTTTATTGTGTCTGGCAACATGATCTTTTATTTGAGCCCATATCGATCGGGTTGAGCTCACAATGATAAGGTGGCAATCTCAGAACAGTGATTCCTTTTTCTGTCGCCATTTCGTCAATTACATATTTTTGGTAATTATGGCTGTGTAATCTAACAGTATTCAATGAATTTTCTTTAATCATGCTGTCTTCATATGTTAAGTTATTTGATATCAATCACGCTTGAATGCTTGGTTTTTTCAAATTTGTAGTTGGTATCCTTTCAACTCTTCTTGAGTGGTATGGAGCATTATCAAGTACCACGATGCTACCAGGTTTTAATTTTGGTAAAATTTCCATGGAATTAATGATTTTTTTCCTTTTTTTGGTGATAACTCTGATAATTAACATTAGTTCTATTAAACATAATTACAAAAAAGGTTTATTACCTCTGCATGACCACTCTTTCCGTAACAATGATACCAGTCGGCAAAAACTAATTACCTCTGCCCACACTGAATTTAAGGAAAATATGTACCTTTAAAATTGTGTCACGTAATTTAAATTAACATTTTTTTTATTTTTTTTTCTAAAAAACGTTACCCCCACACTAGGATTTTCACCTGTATCGTGGAGGCAGTTTACAAACACAAATTTTACAAACAATCATTTGTAGGCCATACAAATACTTGTTCCGTGCGGGATTCGAACCCGCGCCCCCCAGCGCAGCAACTCATTGCTAAGCCACTGCGCCACGGAGCCGTCAATTTAAAACAATGTTTTTGACAATGAAAAATAACTTAGAAATTATTTTTTATTATGTAAAATATAGGCCTTTATTTGTGGTAATTTTTTTTCTGGCAACACATCAAACGTCAAATTTCTATGGAGAATAAAATTAATGTTTAGATGTCTTGGATGATCGACTGTTAGTAGTAGTTAGTTAGACTGTGATGCTATCACAGAATACCATTGTGAAATAGCAGCTTAATGCTGCTGTGTTTCGTATGGTGAGTGTAGAGAACCAAAGATCTTTTTTACTGAAAACAAGACATTCCATCTTAAATCTCAGAGGGGGCCACGAATCTATATTTTGATTCTTAGCAAGGAGATTTAGAGAAGGTGCTCGTTTTTCGCCCTTATTCTACCGGGTGTCTCAGTAAGAGTGCACTTTTTCATTTTAAAATAAAAACAAGTATTTTATGACAGAGTTGTGATATTTTTATTGTATTGTAAAGAAGACATGTTCCGATTAAGTATGGAATAAAATATCCGGCAAATGACCCCCACGGCTCCGATGACAGGCCATTACTCTTTTCATGAAATTTTCCATGACTTTTGCACAGAGATGTGGCTGTATCTCACCGATGACGCGTTGGATTTCCGATTTGAGCTCAGGAATTGTTTCGGGTTTATTCGCATAAACCCGAGATTTCACAAAACCCCAAAGAAAAAAATCGCACGGCGTTAAATCACACGATCTTGGTGGCCAGTTGACATCAGAGTTTCGTGAGATAATGTGTTCTGGAAATCGTTGCTGTAATAAGTCGATTGTTTCATGCGCGGTGTGGCAGGTTGCGCCGTCCTGCTGAAACCACATGTTGTCCAGATCCATGCCGTCTAGTTGAGGCCACAAGAAGTCCGTTATCATATTCCTGTAACGAATGCCGTTCACAGTCACTGCAATTTCGGCCTCATTTTCAAAAAAGTAAGGTCCAATCACGCCGCCTGACCAAAATCCGCACCAGACAGTTACTCGTTGTGGGTGCATTTGTTTCTCATGGATTGCATGAGGATTTTCTGAGTCCCAAATTCGACAATTTTGTGTATTCACGAAGCCATCCAAATGAAAATGCGCTTCATCGGAGAAAATAACTTTTTCCGAAAAATTGGTATCGACTTCACTTTGCTCCATTACCCATTGAACGAATTGCCAGCGCTTTCCGTGGTCTGCTGGTTTGAGCTCCTGAGTTAACTGAATCTTGTACGCATGAAGGTGGAGGTCTTTAGTCAAAATTCGCTGCGTAGTGCTTCGTGAAATTTGAAGTTGTTGAGAACGATGTCGAATTGATGTTTTCGGGTTTTCGGCAACACTCTCGTTTACAACAGCAATGTTTTCAAGAGACCGACCGGTACGTTGACGCAAAGGATTCTTATTATCCATAATTGAACCAGTTTCTTCAAATTTTTTAACCACTCTTTGAATGGTTGACACATTGGGTGCACTTTCTCGGCTGAAAATTTGGCGAAGTTTGCGAGCGGTTTCAGCGTAACTTTCCCCATTTTTGTAATGAGTTTTTACAATTATAACGCGTTGGTCTTTCGAAAACCTCTCCATTTTTAATAATGGGAATAAACAGAGATGACAGCTGTCAAATTTCAGAGTTGCCACTTGCATGAAAAAAAAATATTCCAATTTTAAAAAGTGCACTCTTACTGAGACACCCGATATAAAAAAATAACCAGTTCACGTGCTATCTCCCTCGATCACATGTTCATGCACAAAAACTAACAACCGATAGGTAAAACAAGTTCTCTAGTAGAAATCTCGGTCTGACAAGAGCAGAATGGGCATCTCTCTACTAGATAGATAAAGAGAAACGACTTGATTACACGCGCATCGACTACTTGATGGATGCAGATGACTCAGGATCGTACTTTGTAGCATTAATTAGGAGAAGCCTTCGTTCAGGGACTTGTGAAGGGCTCACTCTCATCCGTATATGTGTATAAAAAAGTTGTCATTCTCCCTATGTCTGCTCAGGTTGTATCGTTTGACGATGGACGCTCGTAACCATGTTGTATAACAGAGAGCTATTGTCGCCCTAATTAAATGCAGCTGCAATTATTTAATATTTTGGCACCGTTCCAAGTTCGCGTTGAGGTCGCTTACGAAGGACAATGATTAGAGAGAAACCCCACATGATACATTGTGGGGGCAAATAGTGTCTCGCCTCAATAATATGCGTGTATGATCAAAATGAGCTATAATACATTTGGACACTAAATTGCGCCGGAATTGCTTTTTTGTTTCCTTGCTGTTCCGGCATCACGACATATTACTGTCGACTTTTCAAGGATTTTAATAGAACTGCTCAAGAAAACTATAAAAATGAATGAAATCAAAGGTAAGATCGAGACTTAATATGTCTCAATCATAGTTTTCTATTAAGTAAAATCTTAAAGTTAATAATTCTTTCTTTCTCTATTAAATAGCTAACAACCGTCCATTGCAGCAGATCATGTGGGAAGCCCATATTATTCTACAGTAAATTTGTGATAGGCGGCAATAAGGATCATGGATGAATGAAACTTTCAACCTACCTCCAGATATGCGCTTAGGGTTATGTAGACAACTTCGCCATTGGCGCTGACCCTGTTGAGTAAGGGAGAACCGTGCAGGCTGCTGTCCCATGCCGCCTCGAACCTGAACAACCGTAATTCTATTATCATAAATCACATTATTACAACACATTTTTATATAATGGAAAATTGATAAGTTATAGCTAAAAATAATTAAAATAAAACTGTTATGTGAATTAAGACGTTCATATTTATTCGTGATAATGTTTAGGCATTGTGTAATTAAACGTTCTTAAAAATTGAGAATTTAGAAAATACAGTGTTAAATTGTGTTTTTTGTTAAATATTTTATTGGAGGCGCAAGACCAGTATTCCTCCAACAAAAGGAGTACGAAATTACCTGAAGACGGCACGGTCATCCAGCGTGGGACGTTCTCCGGGGAAGAGTCCAAGAGACAGAGCGCCGTCTTCGTCGCCGTCTGTCGTGTCTTCGTTAGCTTCGGGCGAGGTGCGGATACGTCCTGCGAAAAATCCAACAATGTTTAATCTACGCTTTCATTTATAAACATTTATAATAACACCTTTTTATCATAGACTGTATCGTTAAAATGTTCGGTACGTTTTTGGTAACTTTTACGTACTATCAAACGAGAACTGTAGGCATTCACTCGAACTAATCGACCTAGACCATACCAAGAAAATGTGATCTACGGTTTAAACGCAAGGAGGATACAACACCATCTTATCACAATATCTTTCTGGTATTTTCCAAAATCATCTTATAAGAACACATAGGACGAAACGAGGTAACAGATTATTTTAAGCCGCCTATGCACGACGAGAACTCAATAATTTCACAATTTGCACATTATAACAGCATAAAGCATAAACAGTATTAGAAACAGTTTACACTTACAGATATACTATTACAGCCTACCAAAAGTCCATTGCTGAACAAACGCGCCTTCCATAGCTATTTGCTTTAGTCGACATGTTTGGAAAGTTACCTTGGCTATGGCTGACTGCATTGAAACCGCCGTTTGTATTTTTATTCAACTCTAATCAGGTACATGCTGTTGCCCATCTCCTGGATGTATTTTCTCAGTCCCTCTTAAGGTGGCCCTACGAGATGTAATGGAGTAGTGGATAGTTTTACTCCGGCACTACACGGTTAAACAGGCACGTACCGACAACGAGTTCGCGCACGTCGCTCCACTGCAGGTCGGCGGAGGGCTCGTGCAGGATGGTGATGCGGATGCGGCGCTGGATGCCCTGGTGCAGCACGAACAGCCCGCGGCACGGCAGCTCGTCGCTGTGCTCCACCACCTGCTGGGAGCCCTTGTCTTTAATAAACATATAATTAAATACGCATGGGGCGTAGAAACATCACTTCCTACGCCACACTAGTCAACTAGTTTACCAACTAAGAAACTAAGACACTCATCACGATAACGCGAGTATTAGCCTTATCGCATTTGTATGTAGACAAATCGTTGCGAAGGATTCTGCATTTCTGATGAAGAAGAAGAAGACACTTTGCTTGGTTGTCTGTAAACTCTTACACATCGACATTGACTTAGCACACAGACATCGAACGTAGTAGTACTATGTATTCTCCTATGAATTGAAGTATATACAAATTTATAGAATGTTATTACGAGTAATAACCGAGGTGGAGTCGATATAATGAAACTCGAAAAAACCACGTAAAAACTAAATTACATGTAGTAAATAATTATTAAACGCAAAGATACCAAATAGATCATGTTGATTTTTGTCGTTCGTTGTCATAACAGAAAAAAACTATGACACTACTACAAACTGTTAATTACGGATTTGAGAACGTTATAATATAATTAAGTTTAAGTATACCTAATGTATTTGTTTTTGGTGTTGAATATATATTTACGCCGTATATTTTGTATTTCAGATTTCTTTGCCTCACAGAGGCCGCTGTCTGTCTTTCATATGTTATAGTAAACATTAAAAAAAATCTGTCTGTAATTAGAAACCCACGCAGTGGACACCCACAATAAAGAATATTCTGCTGACTACTTTAAAAGATAGTTTTCTTTTATAAAACTGAATTAACAAACGAACTAACAGGTCTGTTAGGAAGCGGCTACTGCAGCCCATGGACAACTGCAACCAACTTCTAACAAAGAAGGCTACAGATGCGTTGTCACCTCTGAGAATAAAGATGGAATGCGCCATAGACTGTAATTGTAATAGATCCCTATATCCATCAAATCAGAGCACAGTTGTGCAAGCATTACTATTTAACGGCAGAAATAGGCAAGAAGATGGCACCTACGCAGACAGACTACTCGGCAGAATAGGAGTTCACCAGTTAGTGTGATATTTTGTGAAGTTGAACTTGTTGAGGTTTTAGTTTGTATCTCAAAGCGTCAAAGATACATTATCTTGGTATTCACACACCATGGGAGTATTATAAATCGCACCACTTATTCGTATTAAATCCACTTTAAACTATAATTTAAACAATTACAAGGAGCAGCAACGCGCAATGATTAGTTTCCGGCAAGAAAAAAGTATTTGGAGTGTGCCCGTGAGAGAGAGTGTAATAATGATGAGAGTCCCGAGATCGGGATGGACGGCGGCAGCATGTGGTGCGGTGCAAGTGATGTACTCACGGCGGGCACGTAGTCGCCGCTGGGCGCCAGCTCGCAGATCTCGAACCAGACGAGCAGGTCGTGCTTGGAGTGCAGGTGCGACGAGCAGCAGGGCGGCGCCACGCTGGGCGCGCCCCACTTGGGGCTGCGCACGGGCGCCGAGATCGGGATGGACGGCGGCAGCATGTGGTGCGGTGCAAGTGATGTACTCACGGCGGGCACGTAGTCGCCGCTGGGCGCCAGCTCGCAGATCTCGAACCAGACGAGCAGGTCGTGCTTGGAGTGCAGGTGCGACGAGCAGCAGGGCGGCGCCACGCTGGGCGCGCCCCACTTGGGGCTGCGCACGGGCGCCGAGATCGGGATGGACGGCGGTAACATGCGTCGCGGTGGCGTGCGCCCCACGGCCATCCCACCGTCCTGTTTCGCGTCCTGACACACAAACACAACATTCATTCAAACAATGAATACTGAAGTAATTTTTTATGGAATAAGTATGACAAACGAGCACACAGTCCACCTTATGGTAAATGGAGGTTGTGGCCAATAGACATCTACATCTATCTTCGATAAACAATCAAAATGTAGACAGACACATTGTCAGTCTTAAGGACTAAGATGGAATGCGTCGTTTCTAGTAATATGCATCTCCGGTTCTATATAGTCTCCGTACGAAACAGCAGCATTAAGCTGCTATTTTACGCTGATATTCTGTGAGAGCATTATATCAGAGCGTAATATATCAGAATGAAAGTGGGTTGAGAATGAATGAGTTAGGTACTCGTCAAATGTTTCCTCTATGCTGATGACCAAGTATTACTTGCGTCTTCGGCCGAGGAGTTGCAGGAGATGGTAACTGCTATGAGTGGAGCTTTTGTTAGAAAGGGAATGAAGATGAATGTAAGGAAGACGAAAGTGATGGTGTTTGAAAAAGATGAGGCAGTGACAGACTGCAATATCGTGATTGAAGATGAACAAATTGAACAGGTGAAAGAGTTTGTGTATCTGGGTTCAAAGTTTACAAGAGATGGAAAGTGTGAGAGTGATATCGAAAGAAGAGTGAATGCAGGAAACATGGTGAATGGTGCTTTGCACTCCTTTATGAGCAGTCGGAAGGTATCTAACAAGGCTCGTTTGGCTGTGCACGAGGGGGTGTTGGTTCCGACACTCATGTACGGAAGTTAAAGTTGGGTATGGCAGAAGAAACATGAAAGCAGAATAAATGCAGTTGAGATGAGAGCGTTAAGAAGTATGATAGGAGTTAAACTGAGTGACAGGATAAGAAATAGTGAGATAAGGAAACGATGTGGTCTGAAAGAAGATGTAGTGACAAAAATTGAGAAAGGTATGCTGAGATGGTTTGGCCATGTCGAGAGAATGAATGATGAACGATTGACGAAAAAAGTGTATAAGGCGAGTGTGAATGAAAGTGTTAGAAGGGGTAGACCTAGGCGGACATTTCTAGACCAAATCAGCGACGTCTTGAAAAAAGGCCAGGTCAAGAGTACCCTAAACCGTAGAGCATGTATGAAGGGAATAATGAAAGTGGACGAAGCGAAACAAGTATGTAAGGATCGTAGCAAGTGGAAAGAAGTGGTCTCTGCCTACCCCTACGGGAAAGAGGTGTGATTATATGTATGTATCTATGTATGTACATCTGAATCAGGCTCTACCATGTACAAATCTGATTAAGTAAACTGGGCTGGTGTCCGTAACTCCACGTCTAAAGCTGGGTCCACACTTGTGTCATCGTGAATTTCAAAATCAGGCGTATCGTATTGAGTATTTGTGGACGCCTATTTCGGCCATATCGTATCTCTCACCGTGTCATGCCACAGTTATGCCATAAACCACGTCCACACTACTGTAACTTGTCAGCGTGTCACCAACGCGTGTCGTCATGTGTAGACGCTAATTTTTACCTACTATCCTCGCGTCCAAATCTTCCGTTCCTCGTATTTTTTTCTTGTGATTCAGTCAAGAATTCTCATTCAGTTCAGACATGGATCCAGAATCCGTCTTTGTGCGTCAAAGTGTAGCAGTGACATGTGCTTGTTTTATTGTAATAAGTTAAAACAGGGTAAAAAAAGACAGAGAGACGTCGTTGGTGGCAGCTAGAACTGATTAGAAACCGGAACCTACATGGAGGAAGAGCATTGCTGCTTAATTTACAGTTTCAAAATATAGATCGTGTATCGGCATTGCGTATCCCCTCTGATAATCGGGAAAAAACCACCTCGAGATGGAACGCGGTGTATCATCTGACATATATCAAATGACATAGACGTATCATGACACAGTACATACTACGATCATTCTGCCGATCAAGATACACATATCCGATACGACATGTATCAGATAGGCGGTTATATACGGGTCGGGGTGTATCATGTTACGGCATGTAACATGATCGCATATCACTTTGCGTCCACACTAGCACGTCGATACCACGCATCGGAGATCTGTTACACTATAATTTAAAACCGTTGTTCAATATAAATTATTAAGAATAACTCAAAAACTATTCGTATGACCTTGATCAAATTTATATGGGACCACATGAGAAGCACCAGCTTTTAAATAAAAAAAAGGTTCATCGAAATCGGTTCACGCACAAAAAAGTTATGAGACACAAAAAAAGAACTTTAAGTCGAAATGAGTACCTCCTCCTTCATGATGTCGGTAGAAAATAATACAAGTGTGGACCCAGTTTTAGAGAAAATCTATTAATTTTATGCATTACCGCGACTTTTTAATGAGAAATTACAAATTCTACATATATTTATAAAATTTCAGTATAAACTTAAAATTTGAATTAATCGAGATTACATACCAAACATCTACTAAGTTAATTAAGTAACAAACTAGGTTTACGATACGATACCGTCTGTTAAAATATTAAGAGCGGCGCTTCACCCCATATGTTTTAATTTATTCATAACGGCATGTTAACTAAAAAAATTTCTTACAACCGACTTCGATATAAATAAAATGAGAACATCATCGATGTAGTCGAAGTCAATTAAAGACGCATTATTAAAGATAGCTCAAAAACTACTGGTCAGGTCTTGATCAAATTTATATGGGACACATGGGAATCATCAAAGTTGGTTCACCTAGTACAAAGTTCTGATGTTACACACATAAAAAAATTACAGTCGCATTGAATATCTCCTCTTTTTTGAAGTCTGTTGACTAACCCACATTTAGGTCTGTATTAATCTACATAAACAACCTGAGTTCTATCACCGCCGGCACAAATAAAATTGTTAATTGCAATTTTAAGTGCTGTGTCATTTACCAAGTATTTGGTCGTGAAGGACAACATCTTGAGAAAGCTTTTATGTCTGATAAATAAATAAATATTTCGGGGACACGTGAAGTCCGCCAATTTACACTGAAGCAGCGCGGAGGAATAAACGCTCCATAACCCTCGGAAGACTGTGCTCAGCAGTAGGACAAATACTCGTATATAGGAGGTAGCTTTACCCTTACTTTACATAATGAATTAAAAGTAATTACCTTGTGCAGTGGATGCTGCTGGTAATGGCCGAAAACTTCGAAAACAATCGGTTGTGTCTTTATGTATTCTACGAACGACTTGGTGACGGGTACAGTGATCTGTAAAAAAATACAAGATTCTTATATATAAGTACACTAAATAATTAAAGAAATAATAATATAATTATTTTATAGTATGCATACGTTTTGTACGTGATAAAATCCAAGGGGCGTATTCTTGCCGGTATTCTTGACAGGTTCGGTAGAGAAGGCATCTTCGTTACGATGTAAAAAGCTGCAACAGTGTAAATATAAAAGTGCTATAAATTTGTACACAACGGCTATGCATTTCGTCAAAATCGATGAAAAAAGATGCCAATAATGTTCAAAAAATAAAGACATTATAAAATATTTATTATTGGTTTAATTTTAGTTCTTTATTTTCCCAAAAAATTGCAATGTTGTTAACAAGTATATATCAGTTAAAGCAAAATATTTTGGGGTGACTTCAAGTGTCATTTTCTTCAAATTTGTATAATATGATATAACTACATAAATAATTTTCACTGCTATAGTTATGCTTACTGGATAAAATTAGTTTTTATTTCATTTTCTATTTTTATTTCAGTCAAAACAAGTAAGCAACTTGATATAAATATATTTTAAAGTAACGTTCCTTTTCAGTTATTTCACCCAATTGTCAATTTATTCACCAAGCGATACATGATAATATGATTTTCTTTACTTTATTTTATAAAAATGTTATACACTAAAAAAATTCTGTAACTTGGAGGCGGTTCACATACATAAATTGCACAAGGACAAACATCAAAATCCGTAAAAATTATTTGTAGGCCATGCACATTTTTGGTCATGGCGGAATTCAAACCCGCGGTCCTTAGCGCTACAACTCAATGGTAAGTTACTGCGCCAGTGAGCCGTCACCTCAGGGAGCTGACAAATGATTCCTTAATTAATTGAAAGGTTGTTGCAGTGGGCGCGTGCAGGTGCTCACTTGAACTGGCAGAAGACGTCCGCGTAGTCGGTGGAGACGCTGTGCGCCTGCAGCACGGTGACGCGGAAGGTGAAGTCGCGGCCGAGCGCCAGGTGCTCGGGCAGCTCCTCGTCCTTCAGCTCGGACGCCAGCGAGCTGTCGCCGCGCCCGCTGTCCGCGTCGCACTCGCCCACGCCCAGCTCTGCCGTATAAAATGCTCATATAAAAATCTTACGCTCACCAAATGTCGCTTCTAAGGGTGGTGAGGTAACTGAGATAAACCTATTTATCAGACAGATGGACACACAGTTTGTTTAGTGTTTGAATAATATATTTTGAACTTATATTGGTGTATACTGGGTTATTTTTCAAAGAGTATCCAAATTTTATATTTAATTTCTTCTACTTCTATTTGATTCTACTTTTATTTGAAATTATCCCAAATTGAATGTAATTTATGGGCAACAACCACGCGTACGCGCACCCTTGAGTGCGATTCAAATCACGTGTGCGTGCATAATAAAATAGTAGGCATTGGATATTTATAAACAGAATGTTTGAGATTTTATTTTATTATTTTTTCTTCACCATCCGCCTATATTACTTATTTCAGAATAACTAATGCCATTTTGTGCTTAAAGCAGACTGTCAAGTACTATACAGAACGACAATCACCCATATATGCCGGAATCATTTGACTTGGTTGGGTACGACATTTTGTGACAGAAATTAGATAGTATTAAGTGGGCTACTGAATTAAATAATATCTTTAAATATTGATATTTCAAACCAGGTGAACGTCGTACGATGGTCGAGTGCTTTTTCTAAACCATACGGGTTAGAGTGCGGGGTGAGAAAGGGGGGGTTTGACCTCACCCAAACTCTTCAACTTGTACATTAATGTAACTAATACGTACACCTTCTCTGCAAATTTGGGCATATATTGCAAAATAACCCTGTATATTAAATAAAATAATTTTGGCGTCCTCACCACATCACCGACAAATGTAAAGTAATGTTGATATTCTGGTTCTAGATGGGAGTACTTGATCTCAAAAAATGTTGCTACGAATTGTAACCTAAGCCAATGTTACTTGAAAACTATCGTATCAATTACTTCCAAATACTGTCTTTCGAATTTTGGTCACGGCGGCTAATTTCACTAGATCACTTGTTATATTGAAAACTATAGATAGTGCATTAATACCACCAGTAATGCCACGGGTAAGAAGCAATGAAAAGCGATAAAGTTACAAGCCTATTACATTATACTACTGAACATAGATCTCCTTTCTAAGAAGAGTATGAAGCAGTCCACCGCGCTGTACCACTGTGTAATGGCGAACTTCACAAAAACTGTAATAAACGACGTCATTGGTGCCGGCGGGAATCGAACCCGAGATTCTCGCGTAGTACTGAGAAGTTTACGGCGAGTGCTTAACCTCCGTACTGACACGGCAAATCGGTAATTAATGTTAAATACCTTCAATCTTGATGTTGGAATCGGCAACATCAGCGATGCGATCTTCCAGGTTGAGTGCGTTGTTTTTCTCGACAGTGGAGAGTGTTTTGAGTCGAGACCTTGCAGGTGCTGCGTCGTCATCGAATGATATCTTAGCGGACTGTTTAACACCAGCCGCTAATTCAGCGTTGTCTAATGAAAAAAAAACAGAATTACATTATTAAGCGACAATAGCCTAATACCGTGTAGTGGCGGTGAAAGAATATTCACTATCCCATATCGTCCTGTGCGTGTCGTAAGAGGCGACAGAGGGAAACAAATCAGGAGATGGGCAGCAGCGTCTTTCTAATAACGACTAAAAATAAAAATCTGCAACCCGCTTGCCAAGCGTGGCAACTATGGCAATCTATGGAAGAAGCCTGTGTTCAGGAGTGGACTTTAATAGGCTGTAACGCTAATAGAAACTCAAAAAGTCGTGGGTTCAAATCCATTAGTCAACGACTGTCATGTATTTTTTTTTATATAGGATAAGGGTGACAAACGAGTACACAGTCCACCTTATGGTAAGTGGTTGCTGCGGCCCATAGACATCTACATCTATCCTCGATTACGAAAATGCAGATGCGTTGACACCCGTGAGGACTAAGATGGATAGCCCCGTTTCCAGTAAAATGGGTCTCCGGTTCTCTGCTATTTTACGCTGGTATTTTGTGAGAGCGTGGTCCTTCCCCGGTCGAACCGACCCATTTGTGCTACAACTATACCAGTAATATAGCTGCAGCATGGCTCTACCACGTATAGAAACGCTGTCGCAGCATGTTAAGCTAAGCACGCAATATAATCGAAATCTATCAACTGTCCGGGAGATATTAAGCGTGTCACACACTACGCAGATACTATAATATTTTATCTGCGTATAAAAACTTAATTATCTGAAATTATCATAAAATACGAAATTATACATTCACTCGGAATCCTTCAAACTTACAAGACGTGTTGTGTGAAGCGGATTGTTTATACAGAGTGTTACCTACAATGAGTTGGCGTATTTATTGCTTCTAGATTTGATATATATTATATATATTGCTTCTTTTTTAAACAGCTCGTCAGAATAGGATTCAGATTTTGATTTTGATGTTCTTGTTGCATTATCATTTACTAAAAGGCGAAGTATTAAGATATAATCTATACAAATAAATAAAATTGAAGTGTCTGTTTGTAATGTCAAAATTACAGTTTTTTACTAAATGCATATGAAAGTATATACGGTACTTATAACTAAAATAATCAAATGTTAAATTTTTTTAATACAAATAATTTACTTCATAAAAATCAATTTGGTTTCACAAGGGGTCGCTCGACAACTGATGCCGGTGTTGAGCTGATTAAATATATCTTTAATGCATGGGAGAATTCACAGGATGCTTTGGGCATATTTTGTGACCTATCCAAGGCCTTCGATTGTGTTCACCATGAAACATTAATCAGGAAACTTCAACACTACGGTGTAAGAAGTGATGCTCTTAAATTAATTATTTCATATTTAAGTAAGAGAACGCAAAAAGTTGTCATTAATAATATGAGCTCTTCCGGATCGATGGTAAAAATGGGCGTGCCTCAAGGCTCAATTCTCGGTCCCTTTCTGTTTCTTGTATACATTAATGACTTACCTTACATAGTAGGGGATAACCATGATATAGTATTATTTGCAGATGATACTTCTTTAATTTTCAAATTAAGTCGACAAATACAATTTTTAAAATTTTTGTCTGTCTGTCTGTCTGTCTGTTTGTTCCGGCTAATCTCCGAAACGGCTGGACCGATTTTGACGGGACTTTCACTGGCAGAAAGCTGATTTCATAAGGAGTAACTTAGGCCACTTTTATTTTAGAAAAAGAATTAGGGTTCTGCGCAAAAATATAAAAACCCTAACACACGAGCGAAGTCGCGGGGAACAGCTAGTGTCACATAAAGCTTAAAAAGGACCGAAGATAATTTAATCGCATTTTTTCTGCGACCAACCTGTATTTACCATTTTTACCATCCATCTATACCATCCATATTTACCATTATGATTTTACCTGCAGATGCAAATAAAATCGTACGCCATGTTTGTATCTGCAGATCTTATCGGCAGATTATTAGTGTGAACAGATAATATTGTCACTATCTTTCGATATATTATGTCAGTGCTTACAGATACTTAACGATAAAATATAAATTATCTGCGCTGTGTGTTAGTTTATTGAATTTTATTATAGAGAGCGATATTGGAAAGATATGCGCTCAGATACAGATATCTTATCATATCTGCGTAGTGTGTGATACGCTTTATAGCGATACTATCCTTGCAATTCACAGCGCGTGCGTTTTACTTATATTAAAAACGTACCCGTGTACAAATCAATGCGTGTGTGAGCATGGTAACCCGAACGCTCACTCGCAAGTGAACGCTGCGTTAGACACGCACAATGTCACAACGTGTTCGTACACTTTTAACCACAAGCTAAGTTCACGCGCGTCATTCCACCTGTGGCTCCGCTCTCGAGCGGGTGTACCAGGTAGTCCGCGTGCGCTCCGTTAGCGCCCCCCCAGTTTCGCGCCCCGCACGCCTCTCAGTGTTGGCGCTATAAGCGCTGAAGTCGGGTGAGTGTCTCATCGCTAACTCTCAGCTCTTACCCCCCCGCCTTCAGGTCGGGGAGGTCTGACTGAACGCTTTTTTATATTGTAGTACACTAGTACTGTATATGTTAGTAGTTTATTATAATTATATGTGTAGTATATATAACGTGTATATTGTCATATTGTTTCTTGACTTAGCCCCCGTCCTTTTGAGGACGAGGGAGAGTTTCAGAATAAGAACGTCCCGTTCTTTTCAGAACGGTGATCCCTGATCCCCCCACGCCATACGATAGTTCTAATTTTTAGTTTATTTTTTAGTTTAGTTGTAGAATAGGTTAAAATGTCCTCACAGGAACTGCAAGGTTCCATTATCGAAACCATCCGTAGGGTGCAAGACCCGCAGGCTCTTGCCGCTATTCTCAAAGCCCTTCAGGCTTCTCCCGCCCTTCAGGCACCGCCGCCCGTTATAGCGGATTACCTCGCGTCACGAAATTCGTTCGCGCCGCTCGAAATCGACATGGAGTGCTCTCACTCCGATTCCGCGTCATCAACATCTGCCTCCAGGAAGAGGTCTGCTAAACAGTCAAGCACCAGGACATCGGAGTCCTCTGACTCCGATGATACCGGTGACTCCAATACATCGTCGTACACCACGGTTTCGTCAAAGCGCGCATCGAAGCGCGCCGCGAAAAACCGTTCGCCCCCCGCCGTAGCGGCCCGTGCCGCTCCCCCCACCCCCGCAGCCCCCGCCGCTGCCGCGTCTACCTCCGCAGCCCCCGCCGCTGCCGCGTCTACCTCCGCAGCCCCCGCCGCTGCCTCGACCCCCTTAGATATTGCAGCGCCGTCGAAGCCGGCTTCACGTTGCGCTCCGCAACTCGCGAAAAAACCAGTTCCGCCCCCTGTCTTTTTGAGAGACAAAGCCGAGTTCACCAGACTGAGCAAGATATGCTACGACTCTGGAATTAAATATGACATAGCTACGAACATGGGCGTAGCGATAAAAATAGTTCCCCAATCTATTGACGATTTTCGCCGACTCACTAGGCTTTTTACTAATGAACGAGTATCGTACCATACATACGCTCTTCCGGAAGAGCGTAAAGTCAAGGCCGTCATCCGAGGCGTCCCGTTCGAACTCTCCAACGAGGAGATTCTTGATGACCTTAAGTCACAAGGATTCCCCGTCGAAGCTGTTCATAAAATGCACAGTAGGACCGGGTTGAGATACCCGATAGTCTTAGCCATCCTAACCAACGTTCCGGAGGCGCAAACCATCTTCCGGCAAGTACGCACGGTGTGCGGCTTGTCGGGAGTTAGGGTTGAGTCACCGCATAGGCGCGGTTTCCCGGCGCAGTGCCACCGCTGCCAACTATATGGTCACGCGGCGGCCAATTGCTCCGCCCCACCCAGGTGCGTTAAGTGCCTAGATCCACACATCACCAAAGAGTGTCCCCGGCCTAAAGATGCCGTATCCCCGCCCGCGTGCGTCCTGTGTCAACAGACAGGCCACCCGGCAAGCTACAGAGGATGCCCGTGCGCTCCTCGTCCTCGTATAACTAGACAGGTCCCACCGCCGGTAAATGACCGTTCATTCCCGGCGTTATATGTTAGGAGGCCCCGTCAGGGCGTATCTCAGCCGTCTCAGGGCGTTGCAAGACCCCCTCAGGGTCCCCCGAGACCACCGCAGGCACCGCTTAGGCCACCGCAGGCACCGCTTAGGCCACCACCGGGCTTCTCAAAGCCTATGCAGGCTCCAGTTTTTGCCTGGGGCCCCAAAAAGGTAGATCCACCGCCACAGGTATTTTCTGCTCCGCAGCAGAAACAGTCGACAATTGGCGATGACTTTAACACGGTTTACGCCGCGATAAGGAACATCGACATTAACGAAATCTCGGTCTTAGCGAGTAAACTGCGCGCCGCCCGGTCCCCTCAGGACCGGCTTTTGGCTCTCGCAGAACACAGTAATTTATTGCGTTCGTTGTAAGCTAAGTTAACTTAATTAACTTAGCTTATAATGACAGAGCCTTCTGCTCTGCCTAGAAGTCACGGTCGTATCAAGCCCAAAGGGCTATCGCTTATTTCATTTAATATTCGCGGATTGCGTAATAATCTCCCAGAGCTTAAGCTCTTCCTTAAAGATCGCGAAGCTGATTTTCTCCTCTTACAGGAAACCAATCTTAAACACACAGACAATAAAGGCTTATCCATTAAAAATTATTCTCTTCTTCGTAATGATAGGCACGACCGCCGAGGCGGCGGCACGGCCATTTATTACAAGAAGACACTACATTGCTCTCTTATTGATACTCCACAGCTTACCAATATGGAAGCTACGTTATGCAGGATATCTATGACGGGACATCAGTCTTTAGTCATAGCCTCCTGTTACATTCCCCCTAAAAACCTCCCCCTCAAAGATGATTTTGAGGCAATCTTATCTCAAAGTAATTCAGTCATTATGTTTGGAGATTTCAACTCTAAACATACTGAATGGACATGCCGTACGATTAATACTAATGGTAGGATACTGCGTGATATAACGCAGTCTCTTGACTTAACCGTTTTCAGCCCGCTCGGTGCAACGCACTATCCCGATAATACCGATTATAACCCAGATGTACTAGATTTTGCGTTACTCAAAGGAGTTTCACTCAACCTCAGGTCTATTGAGACACTAGACGATATAGGATCCGATCACCGACCGGTCTCTCTTATTCTTGGCCATCAGCCACCCCCTATTATAACTACGAAAACCTTCACTAACTGGAAGGGTTTCAAGGACTCACTAGCAAAAGCTATGGACTCGCAGGACTCCCCTAATTACCTATCGTCGGACTTAGACTTAGACAGTCCTGTAAAAATCGACACCGCGGTCGAATCACTTTCAACCCTAATTAAATCCTCCCTTAAGGAGAATGAAAGGGTCGTTCCGGTTGCTAATACTAATGGGCTTCCCCTATATATTAGCAACATATTAAAAGCTAAAAAAGCTGCTTTCCGGAGAGCAGCTAAATATCCCACCCCCGAATATAGGCATACGGCTAATCGTCTTCAACGAAAACTCCGTTCGCACCTTTATGAATTTCGAGAGCTCCAAAGGAGTGAACTCATGGAGAATATATCTCCCTCACATACAGCGTACTATCAGATGGCTAGAGCCCTCCGTATAGACGCTACAACTCACACTCCCCCTCTCTCCCGCCCCGACGGTACGGTTGCCTTCGAGGACGACGAGAAGGCTGAGTGCTTTGCAGACAGCATTGCCGCACAATGCTCTCCTAGCTCTCAACCTGTCGACCCCTCACATATTCAGGAAGTGGAGGATGAGGTCCGCCGCCGGAACTCACCCCCCACAACCTCTGACCCTATCACTGTGTCCAATGATGAGATCTCGTCCCTCATCAAAGGACTTAAGCCCAAAAAATCTCCGGGCGCGGATGGCATATCCAACCAAGCCTTTAAATACTAGAGCAGGTGTTAACCCTCTTAGCTATTATCTTTAACGCCTGTTTTAATCTTAGTTACTTTCCCACTTCTTGGAAAGAGGCAATTGTCATTGGTATTCCCAAGCCAGGCAAGCCTCTTAACCTCCCCTCCAGTCATCGTCCCATTAGCCTCCTAAAGGCCATGGGCAAACTCTTTGAAAGAGTCATTCAAAATCGAATGAGGCGCCATCTGTTTCCCACAGACGGTGACCCCATTGTCATCCCACACCAATTTGGTTTCCGCGCAAAACACTCGTGTCCACAACAGGTACACCGCATTGTGGAATATATCCTCAGCGGTTTTTATCCACGTCGACTAAAGACAATCGCGGTCTTTTTCGACATTGCCAAAGCCTTCGACCGAGTCTGGCATGAAGGCCTTATTTTCAAATTATATAGGATAGGACTCTCCGATCGTCTAGTACGTCTCGTAGCCTCTTATTTACAACATCGTACCTTTCGTTTTAGACACGAAGGCACGTTATCCTCTCAGCGCCCCATTAAAGCTGGTGTTCCTCAAGGATCAGTACTAGCTCCCCTCCTGTACATCTTGTACACCAACGACATTCCTATCCCGTCGAATGGTGTACAGCTCTCACTCTTCGCAGATGACACTGCACTATACTTCAAAAGTCCTAGAATATCTTCAGCAAGGAACAAGATCCAAAAGTCAGTCGATGACCTAGGAGACTGGTTCCAAAAATGGCGTATCGATGTGAACCCGGAGAAGAGCTCCGCAGTTCAATTCGATATTAAAAGACGCCGTAATAAAAACAAGAAAAATACTCCACCTATACGAATGCTAGGGACCCCTGTCCCATGGCACATGTCAGCAAAATATTTAGGCGTCACCCTTGACTATAGGCTTACTTTTGAGTCTCATGTCAAAAGAGTAACGCGTCTAGCACGTTTCTATTTAGGTCGGCTTAACAGTATGTTAGGCAGACATAGCAAAATGTCATTACGAAATAAGCGAACCCTCTATAAGGTTTGTATACGACCGGTTATGACTTACTCGGCTCCTATTTTTGCACACGCTAACGATAAAATTATTAACGAACTCCAAGTAGTTCAAAACCTCTTCTGTCGTCGAGCTACGAACGCACCTTGGTACGTCCGTAATGCCGACCTTCACCGGGATTTAGAAATCCCAACAATCCAGCAATGTCTTAAAAAATTCTCTGAAAACTTCTTTAAAGTATCAGAGTCGCATACTAACACACTTATTCGTGAGGCAGTTACTTATACCGCCCCACTCCCTTCTCGCTATAGCGTCCGCAGGCCGAGAAACACTCTCTCGGCCCGCCAAATAAGTTGTCAAACGACCTGAACTGCCTCCTGGCGGCTCAGGCCAATCCTAATTAAATTAAAAATTAGTTAAAATTAATAATATGCCTTCGTAGGCAGTCCCTAAACGGCACTTAGCCGTCTGCGCCCTCTTTTCCCAAAAGAGGGTCGCTTTAGATACGGCATATGCAGCTTTAATAGAGCTAGTTGCCAGTCCCCAAAGGCGGTTTTTAGTGGGTATCACTTAGGTCCCCCGGTAGGCAGTGAGTCCCACATAACCAGGACAGACCGGCTGTCGTGGTATGCATAATGCATTTTCCGCCTCCCTCAGTGGTAGCCCTTTTCCAATTGCTTCGGGCGCAAAAAAAAAAAAAAAAAATCACGCGCGTCCGTAAATTGCAAGAACTTACTACAACTAGACAACTTTTACTAGGTTGTTAAGACTCTATTTCTTAGCCGCCTGTCTAGGTGGGAACCTACTGCTACCATCAGGCAGCAGTGTGTGCACTGCTCAGTTTCGGTCTGGAGGATATAGGAAGTCAGTTTAAAAAACATGCTGTGAGCAATTCCATATTATTCCTCAGAGGTGACAACGCATCTGTAGCGTTCTTTGTTTAAAGTTAGTTGCAGGTGTCTAGGTGGTGCAATAACCATTTACTATCAAGTGGACTGTAAATTCATTGATCCCTTTAATTTTATTTTTAAAAAAACGAAACTTGTGTATTGCAAATTACTTCCAGCTAAAATCAAAACCTAGGACCCGCGTAGTAGCTAGGTACTCAGACCATCGGACTACGCCGTCGGCAGTACATATTTTGTATTAACTCACTTTTCTCGGCGTCGATAACTGCCTGTACAGCCACACGTAGGTAGCCCTTCACGTCTCCTTTCTCGTTCACTATTGCTACTTTGTGAATGAGCGGAACCGGGTACAGGAGGTTCGACAGGTAAACGAAGCTCCTGCGAAACAAAGTATGTAATTATTGCTTTGTATTAAAATAATATGCTAAAAAATTAAAAAAGTAACATGTTCAAGAATCTATTGAAAACTTCAATTTGAACAATAAATACAATAGATGCGGTGTTGTGTAATCAGCATAATATTAACTTAACATGTTCGTTCTCCTAGGTGTCACAAATGAAAAAGTTAATATATTTAGTGGAAAAAACTCGCTTCATAAACAAACAACAACAGCAAAAAAAATCCATTTGTGCCAACAACTGTGTAATACACACATGAAAATCCACATGCCAAATTATATAATTCCTTGAGCTAAAAATGTAAAAGGGCATATTTTTATGTAAATAAAAATAATGAAAAGACTAACCGTCCAACCATACGGAACCACGGGAAACGATCGTAGAAGGGATCACCGCCGGTGACCGACTCGATGTTGTGGTCAGGGGACGTGGGCGACAGCTCGGCCTCGTTGTGATACATCTCGCGCATCAGCTCCAGCCTTTGCCTGTAAAAATTAAATCGCGTCAGTTGATATATAATGTACACTGTACTTTAATTCGGAGTGAACGTTTAACTTAAGATAACACTAAGCACAAGCAACTTAAGCAAAAAGTAAACATCGATCAAACTAAACACCAGCCAACAAAACTACGCATCTCGATTTTCATATAATCTAAAACAATTATGGCAAGTATTACTAGCAAAATATACAATCCGAAATACACTACAATATAACAAAATTATTACGATACATCTTTGCACTATGACGTAACAAAGTATAACATTCATATGTCGTGCTCAATATTTTATACAATCTATCTAAATATTTATAAAAACGACAAAAGCAACTTGTTTATAGCTAAAGTGAGTTATATTATTTACATGTAAATTAAGAAAAAAAAAATGCACAAAAACGTGAAACAAGCGACAAGATAACATTCTTTCCTCTCAGATCACATTTTTATTCACACGGCATTGCATAATTTATTGAATTAAAAATAAATTACAACGTCTACTCACAATAACCAGTAAAAGTAAATTAGAATTAATTATGAACATTTTTTTTTTATATTAATCAAAAAATATTGGTAGCTCTTTAGTATTTAACTTTTAAATTAACATTTCGATAGTCAAATTTACAGTTTACAATTTTATTTAAATGGAAAATCATCCGAAATGTTTTATTTAATTTGTTTTATTGAGAAAACTTTTAACTATTTTGAAATACTCGTGGAATAAGCTTACAATGTATGACAATGAGTAATAAATATTTATATTAGTAAATGAAGTTAAAATAAACACGCGACACGAAATTTATGCAAGTATTTTTTTTTTAGATTTACTAAATAACATATATTCATATTGAATCAAGTCATAACATAAGCGTGATCGGAATTGCAAATGTAGCAAAATCGTGTGTTTACTTCGATACATCACAAAAAACAATCAGAGCTTCTGCGTAGAAACAAAACAGACTTGTAAAATGATATTTGAAATTAAATTAACATTGTTAAATACATACTGTTTGTTTGTTGGGAATATACGGTTACTATGTTTTATTATATATCCTCAATAGTGTCTTCTGTTATGCCGATATAGTACATTTTCGAACCTATAGTCTTACTTAGGGCTGCCAACCCTAATACGAAAATATGATAAAATTTTTCATAGTAAATAAACCAAAGAACTTCTATATTTTTATAAAAAATGTTTAAATAGAACGGGAATTCTTACTTCGCGTATTTTAGCATTGAAAAATTATGAAGTCTTCTGTTATTTAAATCATCATCATTCATCATTACAGTTTTATCAAAAGGTCACTACTGAACTTAGGCCTCCCCCATAGACTGCCTCCTATATGCCATAGATAATACCAGGTTTGGCAGGCGAGTTGGCAATCGCAGATTTTCATGATTTTGAGTGGTTATCAGGATGATACTTTTTTTATAGGATAAGAGTGACAAACGAACACACAGTCCACCTGTTGGTTAGTGGATGCTGTAGCCCGTAGACATGTACATCTATTCTCGATTAGGAATTAAAATGCAGATGCATTGTAACTCCTGAAGACTAAGATGGAATGCCTCGTTTCCAGTAAAAATAGGTCTCCGTTCCTCTACAATCACTATACGATATAGAAGGACCGTTCTCCTATTTCGTATAGTGAATTACCTTACGCCGACACAGCACGGCGTCTTCGAAAATCTTATATCCAGAAGTGGTTTAAAAATAGCAATATGGGAAAAGAAGAAAAAATAGCAAAATCCAGGTACAGATTCATAAAATTAATATTGAAATTTGACATCTATCCTTATTTCATTTTTGTACATTGTATTAATTACGAGGGTGGATTGAAAATTACTCGGCCTAACCAAGAAAATAAACAAATACTAAATCAGTTATATTTTTATTTTTCTACATAATCACCATCAAGTTCAATACACTTTTGCCACCTCCCCTTCCAAGCATTTAGACCGTTGAAAAAAAATGATTCTTCCTTAGAGTCAAAATATGCGTCTACAGCTGCTTTGACCTCGTCGTTTGTCGAAAATCTTTGACCTCCCAAGTGCTTTTTAGGTTAGGGAACAGAAAGAAGTCTGATGGTGCCAGATCAGGTGAATACGGCGGATGCGGTAACAGTTCAAAGCCACAGTTGTGAATTTCAGCCATTGACTGTACTGACGTGTGAACACGGGCGTTATCTTGATGAAACAGGACTTTTCTTCTGAGCATTCCTCGACGTTTTTCTTTTATTTCCTCTCGTAAACGACGTAGTAAGGTGCAGTAGTAATCAGAGTTTATATTCTGACCCCTTTCAAGATAATCAATCATAATCACACCTTTCGAGTCCCAGAATACTGAAGCCATCACCTTATTTGCCGACAAAATCGACTTAGCCTTTTTAGGGGGTGGTGAACTAGGTCTTCTCCACTGTTTTGATTGTTTTGTTTCCGGTGTACAGTAATGAACCCATGTTTCGTCCATAGTAACAAAACGATTCAAAAAATCATCTGCATCGGCTTCAAATAACTCCAAACAGTCGCGTGAAATAGTCAATCGCGTCCTTTCTTGTTCAACTGAAAGCAGTCGAGTGGACAGGAATGTGTTATGGCAAACACTGAACTCATTTGGGTTGAGCGCTGGCTTGATACAGGCATTAAGGTCTCTTTATAGGGACTCTAGTGCTTGTGTCAGGATCAACGGGGTCTACTCGGACTGGTTTGGCATTCATAAAGGTGTCAGACAGGGATGTGTGGCTTCCCCGTGGCTGTTTAACCTATTTATGGACAGTTGTTTGCAAACTTTGAAAGTTGAAGAATGTGGGTTGAGAATGGGTGAGTCAACCGTCAAATGCCTTTTGTTCGCCGATGATCAAGTCATATTTGCATCGTCGGCGGCCGAGTTGCAAATGATGGTTACTTTAATGAATTGGTCATTGAAAGAAAGGGGTATGAAAGTGAACGCAAGTAAGACGAAAGTGATGGTTTTTGAAAGAGAAGAAAGTAAAACTTTATGTGAAATAAGAATAGAAGGGGAGTTGATTGAGCAAGTGGATGAGTTTGTATATTTGGGATGTTTATTTAGCAGGGATGGTAGATATGACAAGGATATAGAACGACGAGTGAACGCAGGAAATAGAGTGAATGGGTCTCTACACGCTATTATGAGGAGTCAGAATGTGTCAACTAAGGCACGTATGGCAATTCATAATGCTGTGTTAGTCCCTACTTTAATGTATGGTAGTGAAAGTTGGGTCTGGCAGAAGAAGCATGAGAGTAGAATAAATGCTGTAGAAATGCGGTCCTTAAGGAGTATGCTAGGGCTGAATCTGAATGACAGGGTGAGAAATAGTGTGATAAGACAAAAGTGTGGTTTGCAAGATGACGTTGTGACAAGGATTAAGAAAGGAATGCTTCGGTGGTTTGGTCACGTAGAAAGAATGAACGAGGAAAGAGTGACAAAGCAAATTTATGTTGCAGAAGTGAACGGCAGGGTCGGGAAGGGACGCCCTAGACGAAGGTTTCTCGACCAAATCGGCGATACATTAAAAATGGGCCAGATTAGGAGTACCCTTAACCGACGAGCGTGTATGCGTAGATATATGGATGTAAAAGAGGCGAGAGAGGTGTGTCAGGATCGCGCCAAATGGAAGTCCGTAGTCTCTGCCTACCCCTCTGGGTGACAGGCGTGAGTGTTTATGTTATGTTATGTTAAAGCAGTCGCGGAACCCACCTCGCAGACACCTTGTGGAAACCCAACTCGTTGACAATGATGTTTTGAGTTCGTTCATAAGAGATGCCTATAATCTCGGCTATCTCTCTAATTTTTAATCTGCGGTCTCCCATTATTAAATCAAGTACTTTTTTAATATTTTCGTCAGTAGTTGACGTCGAAGGCCTTCCAGAGCGGGGTTCATCTTTCACACTCTCTCTACCACGCTTAAATTCTGCTATCCATTTTTTGACGGATGAATATGACAGAGCACAATCGCCTAATGTACTGACCATGTCATCATGGATGGCTTTTGATGATAGCCCCTTCTTATGGAGGTACTTAATGACGGCACGCTGCTCGATTTGCTCCATTCGCGGAAATTATGTCCGATTACTTTGTTAATAAATTTATAAAATCACAACTAATTATCGCACACGTTTCGAACTTCACACAATGAACTAGTCTGAACTGAACTAAATAATGTGGGTAGATTTGATTTTTAGAATTGAATGGATCTGTGTTAGGCCGAGTACTTTTCAATCCACCCTGTTTTTTGGTACTGTGCACTGAAATCCTATACTAGGCAAAAAAAAAGTTGGTAACCCTAGCCGTTTCGTGGTGATCGATCTCTCGTGGCGTACGTGCACGTGATATACAGCGGTCAGGGCGGGCTGGTCGGTCTCCCGGGGGCACAAACCTCGATGGCAGCAGGTTGGCCAGAGACAAGCGCGTCTGTTGCGCGCAGGCCGATATGCACTGCAGTATGTCGGGCGAGGGCGCCACGCCCCCCGCGCCCCCCGCGCCCGCCGCCGGGAGCAGCGGCTCCGGCGAGCCCAGCGCGGGGATCGACGGGGACACGTCGTCCTCCTCGTCGTCCCCGCACGCGCTCTCGTTCATGTTGTATATCTGACGCATTAGCTCCAAGCGGTGGCTACGGACAAGACACCGCCATGTATCCCTACTGCCCTATGCCACTTAACTTTTTAACCGACTTCAAAAATGAGGTTATAATTCGACTCCTTATTTTTAATCAGTGTATTATACCTTCAAGATTAGTTGACTTATTTGGCTGATTTTATAGTACTAAATACTTTACGAGGAGACACTGAAAGCTCTTAGAAAATCAAAAACTAAACAAACTAGCAAGTTATAAGTTTTAATACATATATTTTCAAAATAGTATCCATTTACATCAATACATCGCTGCATCATATGGAACCATTGAGAAAAGCACTTAGCCCACTCGCCCTTAGAGATCTCTTCAACGGCATTCTGAAACGCAGCCACTGCTTCCTTGGCGTCCATAAGACGTTTTCCTCGAATTTTTTCTTTTATTTTCAGAAATAAATAAAAATCACAAGGTGCGAGGTCGGAGTTATATGGCGGGTGACCCAGTAATTCCACGTCTGACGTCCCACGCTTCGACCTCCCTTACTTTAGTTGGCAACTCCTCGGAAGGAAACACCCAGACAGCAGACTGTCTCTTACTTTCAGGATTATGACAATAAATCCAGCTTTCGTCACCCGTAAGTGTGCCGAACACAGCATTTGAGTCAACTCCGTAAATCTTTGAACCATTTCACGACACCAATCAACACGACGGAGTTTTTGGGCCTCTGTCAAATTATGAGGTATCCACCGGGCACAAAGCTTGCTGACCGCTAAATGTTCATGGAGGATTTTGTGCTTGACTCATACCGATGCCTAAGCTTGTCCGAAACTGCTGATAAGTTACTCTTTTGTCAGTCTCTATCATACGCCGCACAACACTGATGTTATCTTCAGTCGTAGCCATAGAAGGCCGTCCCTCGCGCAGATCATCGTTGAGATTAGTGCGACCACGTTTAAACTCATTAAACCAGTTGTATACAGTAGCACGAGATGGGGCGTCATCGTGAAAGGGAAATGGAAGTCCACCATAACTTTTTTGTTGACTTAAATTACATCGAAAGTCATAAAAATCATTGTACGAAAATTTTCTCGCGTTAAATCCATGCTTTTTTCAATTTATAGTTTCAATTTGACGCCAAATCGTAAACAAAAGACAAATTAATAAAATACATACACAATAATATTGGCACAGTGTTCCATTTTCAAAATTTGAACTTATTTTTTTATTACATCGTTTACAAGTGGCCAGTTCTTAAAACTTTCGGTGTCGCCCTCGTAACAGTAAAACAATTCAACCAGATTTAATGATTATTGAAGTCGGTTTAGATTTTTTTTTTAATAGCCAATTCCTTCCCTTCATTCATCAACAATAAACTTAGATAGGATGTCTTAATAAAAGCTTTTATCAATATTATGTTTAGTCTCATTATATTTATTGATATCACATTTATTATATCCGTAGTGGTTATAACAGTTCTCTACTTTCTCGTAAACATTATAAATACATTAATTTATTTAACCTTTGTCTAAGATACCGGTCGAAAAACAAAACTATAAACAAACCTATGACCTAAGCTGAAATGAATAATTATCATTGTAAATAATTATCAAAAGCAAATTATGTAACAACATTATTGGGTGATAGAAGTTACTGGAGAATTAGCGCAGCAATAATTTCACCTTTCAAAACAAATAAAACCTTAAAGCAGATTTTTTTTTTAAATAAATACCTTATTATGTAAATATACAGTAGCTATACATAATAGTAGAGGTGCAAAGAAGAGCTAGTTAAAAATATAAAAATCTAGTCTTCTAATTTTCATAATATCAAAATATATTAGCACGAAAGAAAAATAAATTCAAGCAGCAAATAAAAAAGCTATATTATATTATATGATGTACATAACACTGCAACTATATTTTAATGATTTGTTAACCTTATTATATAATAAACTTTACCCACATAATATACATTTGACTTACCTGTTAAAAATATTAAAAAATTAAAGTTATACGCTTTTTACAGCTGGGCACGAGCTTTCTCCAATTTCTGAGAGGGTCTAGAGCCTTGGTAGCATAGGTGCTAAGCACTCGCTGTAACGCACACCGCAGCTCGGGTTCGAACCTCGTCGGCAACGATAAAAATGCTGATCGCAATTTTAAGTGCTGATTTACCACGTGCTCGTGGAGTGCAGGGAAACATCGTGAGGAATCCTGCATGTCTGAGAGAAATATTTGCAGGACACGAAATCCGCCAACACGCAATTGAGTAGCGTGGTGAACTGCTTTTTTCATAATCCTCTCAAATACCCTAACAAGTATTAATCGTAATTTTAATTCAGATATTAAGATATATACATAACTAACTCTTTAAATACAATATAGCAATAAAATAAATAAAAAAGTATGTGTTATAGCCTCAGCAAAACTAAATCGTTGCTTGTAAGTAAAAACATGAATAGCGTTCATAAAACAATAAAATAAATTAGGATATAAATATAATAAACAAAATGCAAGACAAAAAGAATGTTCGATAAATATAACACGATGACCATAAATAAAATGAAATAAAGTAAAAAAGCGCAGGAAAACAACTATATGTGTGACATAAATTTGTGTATAATATAAATTTCGTATGTTTTTAAAAGTAGCATTATATGTTATTAAAATATATTGAATGCTGAATGTAAATAATTCATCGTCTTTACAGACAGGCAGCAAATCACTTTTGCGCTGAGTAATTATGTCATATCGAATATAACATTTTACGATTACATTTTTATTTAGTTCAAACAAATAATCGTCTATGAACATTATTTAATGTGCAACTATATATTTTGTACTACTTAAAAATGTATAAGGAAACACACGTAGTATTAATATGTTTAACCTAAATATTTACATATTTAGAGGCTTATTAATTAATTAGGGATTTAACTATAATTAATCATTTTTTTATTTATTATTTATATAATTAATTATTTTTTATAATATGTAGTATAAAAAATATGTTGAACGTTATTATTTGTCACAATTTACAATTTTATGCAAGTTGATTTGCATTTCATTTTTAAGTGATTTTATAAATAAACTGTACTTTTTATATATTGACTCAACTGATTATAAGAAATAAACGGCAATACTCATAAAAATGACATTATGAATTTTTATACTTAAAAATGCTTATTAAGTTTCTCTCTTTATCTCTCTCTCTCTCTCTCTCTTTATCACCTTTACTAAATAACAATAGTAAGGGATAGGGACAGAGATATATAGGTAGCCGATAAAATCAGAATGTATTTAACATTCGAGAAATAAGATTTAATGTAGTGGTACGAAATTTTTTTCGTAAAAAGTATTTTACCCAATGTTTTTTATTAAAGTAAGACGTATTTACAAATTTTTACCTAATCCTATACACACACAAATTTGAAAACGCGTAACCAGTTATCCGGTGAGGCTTGAAGTTTACCAGTAAGTGAGAGTGGAGAAGCGAATTGGAAGTGCACTAACCGAAGCTTCTCGAGGGTCCAGTAGTGCGTGGCGCCGTTCTTGGTGTCTTGGACCTCGACGGCGACGACGGTGGGCGCGCCGGGCCGGTACTCGTCGTCCGCGTCGTCGCGCGGCGCCAGCTCGCCCGGCAGGGGCGAGTACGGCGTGTCCGTCAGCAGCGTGAATTGGAATTGGACCTTCTTGCGTAGCTCCACGGAGATCGCGTTAGCTTCCTGTGCGGAGGTCGATAGTGGGAGCTTAGTTTTAACCTACGTAACAACGCTATTATATATTATTATAACTTATGACTGCCTCGTTGGCATAACTATCGTAAACGCGACAGCTGATCATAAGGTCAGCCGAATAAAAATCAGTTATTGAGCAGCCCGAAGTAAAAGATTTGGCGGAGTTTCATCTCGGAGGGTAAGTAAAGCCGTTGATCTCTATGGTGGTGTCGGTTTGCCATCCCATCGGACTATGAGAGTGAGGGCATAGAAAGTGCACCTGTGCTTGCGCATACACTCGGGACACTATAATCCTGTGATATACCCCGATGATACCGTGAGACGAAACCGGTCGATTCTTTTAGTGTGTAAATTAATAATTAAATTAAATATTATGAAACAGGTACAAGTGTGTATCCAAATCATACAAATGAAACTGAATCTGTTCTGCACAGATGGTTAGTCTCTGTTGAGGCTGTCAACCGTGACCGAAAGAAGGTTGGTCAAATCGTACCCGACGACGAAACAATGGCGTCACTATATGTCATATTTATAAAAAATAACCCTAATTTTTAAGGTCTTAAAATACACAAAAAATACCTCTCTGAGTAGCCACAAAAAAAATTATCCATTTATTTTTGTATTTGTAACTGTTCCGAAATTATTTAAAATAATGATTTCAGAACGCACTCGAACGCACGTAATGACGATTCATTTCGCGTACGAAAGGACTTTGTATTCAAACACTATAATATTTACGTTTTTCTGCATAGTTATTAATTGTAATTCAATTCAATTAGTATGTAGGCATCAAATCAACTACTATACTTATTTATTATGTACTGGATTCAAGTCATAAAAATAATTATGTAGATTCATAGTAAGCTAAGTGTTTTGTTCAATTACGAACAACGGAACGTCATTTGTCATCGACAAGTTACATAATCTGTGGTCATCAGTCGACCCTATTGATTGTCAGCCGGCATTAATTCGCATCATCTTAATTGCTTCACTCGTTGTTGTGGATTATGATACTGATGATAATGTTGTGAAAGAAATCGAAATAAATGAAAACGAGATTGCCAATTACCCTCCTCGCTTATCGCTTACTACACTTATAGGCTACGTCGCAGTCGGATAAAAGGTAGTTGTTTATTCTAACCCCAAAAGTATTGTTGACGTTATTATAAAACATTGTGACTATTTAGATATGATTATAAAACGGGATGGTGTTTACAACATAAAAACAAACCAATCTAGCCATAGTTTGTTTTGGGACATGAAAAATAAAAGTCAAGTCCAGCTCCTATATAAATTTGGCCATTGTTCTTTGGTCTGGAGGACATTATTATCATCACTCATATATAAAAACTAAAATATCATGGTATTCTCATATTTCTATGAATCAGCTCAATCAGATCAATGATCACATACGTATGATAATTTAATAGCGGTCTTCTTAGTAACGATTAAAAGAGCAGACTTAAGATTGTACACATAAGGTGATTCGATAAAAGACGGAGCACGACCTATATAGGCCTCCCCCATAAATTATTTTATAGAGGGATTTTACCGTAGCCGCCAGCGTGCCATGCCATGTGCACGCATGGCATTCGGGTTGACAGCCGCAGTTTTTTTTATTATTTTGACTTAGCAGGAAGATGCCTTGGCTTGGATGACTTGGCGATTATGTCAAACAAATAGTTTACATCCATGTTCCGCAGTAGGGTAATTACATGCTGATGATATGAAAGGTGAGAATTAATCTATTATCTGATTAAATAGTTGATACACATGTTTACCTTGAGGAATATCGCGTTGCCCCACAAGTCGTCCCTGAGCGAGGTGAACTGGTGGTACTTCCACTTGCGGAACGCCCAGGCAGCCAGCCCCACCTCGCGCGCCGACCAACACTCTGTCTCAAACAGGGGGTTCACTACACGGACCAAACCGACAACGCATTACCATCGCAAACTTACATGCATTACGCGCAAAGGAGATTAGCGTAGCTGGGACAATTTCCCCTCTCCCTTCTCCCGCAAAACTATAAAATAATTTACATCCCAAATTTCAATTCTTTTATACACTATTTTTGTTGTTTATTTTTTTAGTGATTTTAATATTTTTTGTTATTTCACCTGTATTTACTAAGTTGTAACGTAATAATTTCTAACGTAACAGAATATCCCAAAGATAGTGTAAAGATGCTGTCAAACTTCAAAATGCAAAATGAAGTGTGTTTATTAAAATGATTTTTAACGTGTTGAATGACCATGATAAGACACACAATCTAAAAAGTTATAAAAAGTTACGTATTTTAGTTTTGTTAAATGTTTTGAACCTACAAAAAATTTTATGTTTTGATAGGTACATGAGTTTCTAACAAAATTGACCATGCTTGTTGAGTTCGAGCACATATCAGACGCATTACAAAAACATATGTTGCATGTTTTCTCTTAATTTAAAATGGCGACCATTTTTTTTATCACGTTTCTTATTGTGAACTATATATTTCAAGCTTCTAGCTCTTCGGAAAGTTAGTTAAAATCGATTCCAACATTACGCATGCTTCAACCATGCGCAGACTTATCGTTTATTTTTAGTAAAACATGCAATTGTTTTTTGTTTAAGATCAATGATTTTTAACTTTATGATAAATTAGATGAAATGATTAATTTAAAGCTACAAAATATTAAAAATATATATAAATATTTTTAAGTCTGTGCAAAAATAAATAAACAAATTTGTGTTAACAGCGGTAGCAACTACACCAGAGTGTTACACGTCCGAAACAACGATCTCATGTGTTTTCTAATTTATTTTTATGACGTTCAAATGTAAGTAATACGTGTCTGAAAGAAATAGCTTTTAGCGATCACACCAAACCAGATCAGATTTGTATTTTGGTAAGGGCAATAATGAGTTTTATATATATCATATCTATCTTTTTTATAGGATAAGGGTGACAAACTAGCACACTCTACCTGATGGTAAGTGGATGCTGGGGCCCATAGACATCTACAATCTATTCACTATTAAGAATCAAAATGCAGACGGGTTGTCACCCCTGAGGTCTATGACAGAATGCCTCACTTTCAGTAAACCGGCTCTCTACAGTCACCATACGAAACAGAGCAGTAAACCTACTGATATTCTGTGAGAGCGTGAACCTCTCCTGGTCGTGCTAACCTGTTCGTGCTACAATTATAATATTACTGTAGCATTGTTCTACTACGTACATAATCTATCTACCTAAATTAGTAAAAAAAAAGTTTACTGCTGGACATTATTGGATGTTACTGAAATTCTTCGTGTACTTGTAATAATAGGGTATATGACATGTCAATTGAATTCTTTTTACGAGCTGTTAAAACAAAACTTTGCATAGAAACTAGTATTTTTTAATTGCATTAAAATAAGAGAACAGCAATAGACGAACGAAGCGAGTGATGACATAATTTATTCTAGGCAAATAAAAATGTTATTTGTATATTTTTACAATAATATTATAATTTAATTCAAAACAAAAAACCGACCAAGTTTTGAGACACTTATAAAAGTAGCAAATTTAAATGATGTAATTTAATTATTTATTTATAATGGTTTCAATTATCTAACCACATTACAGACCATCTTTAAGAGTCACCTAAATTTATCCTCCTTGAAGAACGAAGATGAATGTATATGCATTTATTTCATTTATTGGGCCAAAATTTTACAATTTTAAAACCTACAAATACATACTTGAACATTAAAAATTTTGTACAACCGACTTCAACATAAACTATTAAGAATAACTCAAAAACTATTGGTCCGCCCTTGATCAATATGGGACTACATGAGACGCACCAGCTTTCAAATAAAAAAAGAATCATCGAAATCGGTTCACCCAGTAAAAAGTTATGAGGTAACACACATAAAAAAACATACAGTCGAATTGAGTACCAGCTCCTTTTTGAAGTCGGTAGAAAAATATCAGATAAATATAAATCTGATCAGATAAATGAATCAATAAAAATATAGATAAAATATTAATCGTCGGATCGGTCACTCTGGTGTAAATGCACCTTATATTTGATTGCAACTCACCGAAAATGTCTTCTTCATTGTGGAAGTCTTCGGGTGTGTATGAGCTATACATGGACATGGTGACGCTCTGTTCTTCCACTTGTCGCTGAAGGGCGTCGATGCGAGCTTCGTAGTTCTGTACAGAACAATTGAATAAGAATGTTTATATTTTATAACTAACGAGTAGTGGCGGTGTAAGAATATTCACTCCCCATATCGCAAACACTGCAGTCCATTTTTTTGGAGTCTCTTGAGGAAAAAGTAAAATTACAGGCTTTATACGTATAAATATATCCCACTGATGAGCACAGGACTCTCTTCTATTTGTGAGAGGGATACAGACTAGTTAATCTTCCAGTGCGTATTCGCAGACTTCACACGTCTTCGAGTTCTTTTTTTTTCTAGAATAGGGGTGACAAACGAGCACACAGTCCACCTGATGGTAAGTGGATTCTGTGGGTCATAGACATCCACATTTATTCTCGATTAAGAATCAAAATGCAGATGCGTTGTCACCCCTGAGGACTAAGATGGGTCTCTCTTATTACTCAGACATACAGGTTTCCTCATAATGTTTCCGTCCAATGTCGAGCACGTGGTAAATCAGCACTTAAAATCGCAATTAAGTTATGAAAAAGAGAACAATGAGGATCAGTAAAGTTATAGAAAATTCAATAAAACTAGTATCCATGTTATTCTTTATGAGATAAGAATTATATATCTTTTTGAATTAGCCAAATCGGACCATTACTTACGAAGATATTAAGTAATAAACATAGGCCGTTACTGTCGCTAAAAGTCAATGTACGCAGGTCCGCGTGACGTCACTGTGACGGAAACGAACGCATCATAGTAGTACATACATGTATTCTGTGGTAGTTCACGATTCGATGGAGTGCGGAGACGCGGTTGGGCACTATATTTAGCAATTTATTTGAATAAAGCGTTGTTACCGTATAATTTTGTGATTGTTTAAGTATTAAAAGTACATAATATGAGTGCTAATAAAGTAGAAGCTGGTTTTGTGCAAGCTCAATCAGATAACCGTCCAAAAGTGGATTCTTTTATGGTATTCGATTATCTAAGTAATCATTCTAAGTTCACCAGCGCTGAAATCCGTGGTTGGAAACTACAAAGGTAAGGGTGCTGCTTATTTATCTACGTTCGATAACCGGCTTGTTCGGGATATTTTTCGGAAACCGGCTTGTTCGGGAGACTGGAAGTAGTCTAGTCTGCGCGCGAGACGATTCGTAATGACTCTCGAAAACAGCACCTAGACGCGGCTCAGAAGGGAAATCGGTCTGTAGTTCTTCAAGAGAGCATTGTCACCTTTCTTGAAGAACAAGACCACCGCACTTCTGCTCCACCATGCCACCATGGAGGACGGAATCAAAGAGCTTCTGAAGGACTTCATGTACCGATTTTCCACCCGCTTTCAGAAGCTCCGCTGTAATTCCATCCTCGCCTGGGGCGTTGCCGTTTTTCAGGTGCTGGAGAGCCATTCTAATTTCGCTCATACTGACGTCCGGGATATCATCGGAATAGTGTCGGATAAGACTCGCTCTTGGATCGTTACTCACACTTGCGTTTAGCTCCATCGATGATGTGTACAGCTCAGTTACTACTGAAGATAAAAATACTAATAACACAAATTCAAATCAGTTTTTCCTAGCAGTTGTGCAAAGCCTAAAGGAAAATCCTATCAAAAATCAGTTATCAGTATACGTTACAAAGAATCAGTATAAAAAATTGTCCTTGCATAACCTCATTCATCAATACAAAAATGAAGGCAATAATATAAATAGTGCAGATAATTTTATTGATTATTGTTCTACTAAAATCACCATAGAGAAATATCACAAAGCAGAGGAAGCAACAGTTTGTCAAGCTAGTTCACCGTTATGGCATGAGTTAAGGTAATGTAGAATAACCGCGTCTAAAGTTCACGAAGCCACACATTGCAAGACTCCTGATGGTGCTTTGATTGAACAAATATTTGGTGCCTCTGTACCAGAGACTCTGTCTATGAAAAGAGGCAAACGATTGGAATCTAATGTCAGAGCAGAAATAGCCAAAACAAGGAAAGTAGTTATTGAAAATTGTGGTTTCTTTTTAAAACCTGATTGGCCTCATTTAGGTGCTTAGGTTATTTGAGTCTTGATTCTCACACTCTACTACTTCAATGGAAAACAACAACAGGTCTTCGCGTCCAATATCTCTACTTAAAACTCTTTCAAAATATTCTATGTCTTGTCGTTTTTTAAAACCCGGTCGGTCAATTTTCTTTTTTTGGGGCTTTTGGCATTCAAACTTATGAGGCAAAACTCCCTTCTTCAGTTTAAGCTTTCCTCCAAGTAACTTAAACTTTACGTAATTTTCCATATCTTCTTCTAACTGAAATATAAAAATGTATATAAGTATTAATTTATTTGCTTCTAACAATAAGGTATAGCTGAGGCAGATACATAAATTCACCGCTGTTATGTAAAAGATTATAGAATATTATCATTCACTCTTTGCTTTTTCCCCGAGTACGTCTCTATGTCATTGTTTTGACCCTGGAATACGAAATACGATGTTTTTACATATAAACATCTGAACCGATTTTAATGACTTCGATCTGAGATCTTAAAATGGATATAGGCTACTTTTCATCACAAAAATAAAACTTTACGGGGATGAAATAGCGGTGAGATAAAAACTTTCTGTGACAAATTGAATTCAACGCGGGCGAAACCGCAGGCAAAAGCTAGTAATACACAGAAATGGGAACGGGCGAATATATAGGTTTACGTTAGTAGATACGTTAGTGCGTAGTTTTATCAACAAAACTTAAAAAAAGTAAATAGGTATGTTTTTATTAATACAGCAGGCTTAAAATAAGAGAATATACAGGTACACTACACGTAACATAAGGTACCAACTTATTTCCATATCAACTAAATAATAGGTATAATAGATATGTAGGTAGGGTGTAGTTTTATCATCTCTTTTTACAATGGAATACCATTTTTTTACGAAGTTGGGGTCTTTCGGTACGTTAAAAAATAGTTTTTCTGGTGTTTTAATAGAAGTGTTTGTACATTTCGGCACTATACAATATTTATACATAGTTAAAAAGGTAAATTAGACACAAATCGGACACTTAATTTGTTTCAAAGTCACAATTAACCAAACAAAACACTGCGCGCCTTATTACTGCCAACGGCTAACTGGCGAAGACCGTCATAGTGACGTCACAGCTACCGCGCCGGGCCGTCAGTGAACTTCGCTAGTAATTTGATCATAACTTCGTTAATATTTGTCGTAGAACAAAAATTTTTGCACTGTATGTTAAGGATTTCTTAGATCTATAAATCTGCATTCTCAACTAAAAACGTTACGGATCCTCATTTCACTAAGCAATAAACTTATGATAAAAACTAATATAAAAAAAAAGAAGCAACGGACTACACACCTTACGCTGTTCTTCGAACTGCTGATCTGCGTGTTCCTTCTCCCTGCGGAACTGTTCCTCGAGCGCCAAGAGACGCTTCTGCATCTCAGCCTTGAGGTCGATACCTTGCTTCTCCAGCAGCTCGCATTGGGCGAAGTCCCAGTCAATGTTCTCACCGTCTTTACCACCTAACACAATTTAAAAATTTATGTTTATACCAGTATGGATACTTTTGAAAATTCATATGCATAATTTTTATTGTGAAAGTTGTCATTATGCGTGCATACATAATATTTTTATGGATAATTTCAATGAAAAACGGCTTTATTATTTTATAAACCTAGGGCACATCGTACTATGAGAATGCATGCAAAAAACCGGAACCTTTTGTTTTATCTTTTGTTAAATTTTTGTTAACAATTGCCGATAGCTGCAATCCGGTTAACCGCAAGTTAAACCTCAATGCTGGTAATCCGATGACTCTAAGGATGCGGGTAACCGCATAAGGCCGTATGTGCTCTAACATAGCAGTTTACTCCTCTACCAGAGTTACGGGGTAGAGACATGTTATATTGTTGTTATAACACGAATGGGTTTTCTCGTATAAAATAGAATAGAATCATTGTTTATTCAATATAGATCACATGATGTGTAAGTCTTATTGAAAGTCAATTTTTACTTAACGACTAGTTTGAAAATAAACCCTGTGTCCTGGGAAGAACCAGCAAGAAACCCAGCGGGACTTCTTTAAAGTAAATTTTACATTAATGGTTTTTATTAAGTAGAGTAAATAGGTCAAACAATTTACAAATTTTATTTTAGAAACTGCTTGGAAGCGACGTCATCATTCCCAGGGGTTATTATCAGCCATTCATTTATATTATAATAACCCTTTTTATACAGTTTCAGCTTAACAAAACATTTAAACTTGGTAATAGAGAGATCCTATACACTTTCCGGTACTTTGTTGTAATAGCGTATATACAATGCCCCAATAATGAATTACTGACTCTGTGGAGTCGAGAAACTCGACCAGGCAAGGACCACGCTTTCTCAGAACGCCAGCGTCAAATAGCAGCTGAATTCTGCTGTGTTTCTTTTAATAAGTGTAGAGAACCGGAGACCCCTTTTTACTGGAAATGGGGCATTTCATCTTAGTTCTCAAGGGTGACAACGCATTTACATTTTGATAATAAACCGAGGATAGATGTATATGCCTATAGGTCTCGGTATTCATTTACCATCAGGTGGACTGTGTTTTCGTTTGTCACCCTTATTCTATTATAAAAAAACAGTACACCTGTTAGTAAGCGGCTATTGTAGCTTATGGACTTCATAAACTCCTACAAACTTCATAGACTTCATAAACTTTACAGGTTGTATTTATGTGACTCTCCTTCAAACAAGAACACAGCAGTGCATGCTCTACAGATTGGCAGCATAAACGGTTAATGTGTGGTATCATCCAGACAGACTCTTAAGGCGGCTCTTCACGTTCGCCAACATAGTGGCGAATGTGTTGGCAAAGATATTAGCCAAGAGTTTGTGATGGCGTCCACACGTTGGAAGGTCGTTCAGTTTGCTTCGGTTCAGGCCGATGTGCCCACAAATTTATTAAAATGGATATTGAGGCGCTAACGGCTCGTAGCAAACTAAACGTGCGCCCAACGTGTGGACGCGGCGGCCAATACTCTGCCATAACCCTGTGATCTTTTGTAAAAAACTGACACCACACGAATCTCGCGCCAACTTGTGGGCTATCATTGCAATATATACCAAGTGAAGCACAAACACCCGCTCTACACGACGACCATCGGTATTGGCCAACACATTCGCCACTATGTTGGCCAACGTGAAGAACCGCCTTTAGACAGATAACGTCCTACTAATTAATACACGTTTACTAATATAAATAAGGTGAAATATAGATAATAGTAATCCTTTATTAAAAGACCTTTGGTAAACGAAACGTCCATATTCAGTTTATTTTTTTCATAAAAACACCTGATGGCAAGAGGATGCTGTGGCCCATTGACATCTACATGTATCCCCGATTAAGAATCAAAATGCAAATGCGTTGTCACCCATGAAGACTTAAATGGACTCGTTTCCAGTAAAAAGGGTCTCCGGATCTCTACACTCGCCATACGGAACACAGTAGCATTAAGCTGCTATTTTACGCTGGTATTCTGTGAAAGCGTGGTCCTACCCCGGTCGAACCGACACATTCGTGCTACAACAATAACATAGCTACAGCGTGGCTCTACCACGCAAAAAAGTGTTTAGAGACTGATGAGAGAAGAGGAGGATAGCAATATTCATATAGTTGCTAACTTAATATTATGTAGTATGAAAATTCACATTCAGCCATTACCATCATTACCATCGTTGTTGCTTCCGTTATTTTCAGTAGTGCCGGTGAGTTCCTTGTTAGAAATGGTGGGCTCGTAGCGCTGTCCCGGGTGTGTGAAGCGGAACACATGGTTCTTGCCCAGGATGACTCGGGAGCCGGTCTTCAATATTATTGGCTCTTTCACCTGGTCGATACGCATCAATATTTTATTGTAAAAGACAAGCTGTGAGGCCATCATTAACATATTGAAAATGCTATCATTGTGAAAAAAAATTAGTAATGACAACTCCGGATACTTCCCGCGCCATATATAGCAGAAATATGAGTTATCAAATATCGTTATTAATGTAGATAGCTGTAACTTTTTACAATTTGTAAAATTTGTAATGTGAGCAATGGAAATTCTTGTTTGACTTGACTGTTTCTGTTATTTCGTTATGAAAATATAATTTGTAAAACATTATTTTCTTCATAAATTAAAACAAAATATGTAAGGTATCTTATAAGACTCACCTCCCGACCGTTAACATAGACGAGTGCCCCATGATGTGGAACGAGGCAAATAACGCCATCTGTATTCTCAAATATGCAATGTTCACTGAGGATGTGGGAGCCGGACAGTTGTATATCTTGTGGAACGTTGGCTTCAGACGTGCCAAGTCGGGTCACACCTACCAAATAAAATTATAAACATGTTACACAAAATAAAACATTAAAAAATAACGTAATTAATACCTATGAAGTATATTTTTTTTTATAGGAGAGGGGGCAAACGAGCATGCGGCTCACCTGATGGTAAGTGACTACCGCCGCCCATGAACAACTGCAACACCAGGGGAATCGCAGATGCGTTGCCGGCCTTTTAAAAAGGAGTACGCTCTTTTCTTGAAGGTCCCTAAGTCGTATCGGTCCGGAAAAATCGCTGATGGTAATCGATTCCACAAGGAGGTCGTGCGAGGAAGAAAACATCTTCTAAATCGCACAGTGGTGGACCGCCAATCATCCAGATGGTGTGGATGGTATCGGGAGTTCTGCCGCGATGTGCGTTCGTGAAATTTGGCGGCTGGGATTAATCCGAACAATTCCTCAGAGCACTCCCCATGGTAGATGCGAAAGAAAATGCAAAGGGATGCAACATCTCTTCGCAGTGCCAATGAATCGAGCCGATCGGAAAGGGCTCGGTCGTCGACAATTCGAGCCGCTCTGCGTTGTATGCGGTCAAGTGGAAGGAGCTGGCACTGGGGAGCCCCTGCCCAGAGATGGGAACAGTATTCCATGTGAGGCCGAACTTGCGCCTTGTAAAGTAGCAGGCGGTGTGCCGGCATGAAATACTGTCCCGCTCTGCTGAGCACGCCAAGCTTTTTAGAGGCCAATTTGGCCTTCCCTTCCAAGTGACCACGAAACTGCACGTCACTCGATATTTTACATTGTATTTTTATAAATTTATATTTTAATAAATATCTTAAAACTATGCAGAGTCTAGTCGAAGCAGTGCCAAGTTTTTACAACTATAGTAAAAACTTGGCACAATAAATAAGCTATAGCTTAAACACAATGTTGCGTATGTACGAAATGTGTGCATTTGCTTTATTTAGTTAACATAAAACACTAGCTTAGAATCGTTAATATTTATAAGTTTTAACAAAAACTAAAAACAGACTTCAAATTGCTAAAAATGAGGTTATTTATTGCTAAAAACGGGGTGACATTTATCTTCAAATTTATATGGGACCACTCGTTTTAAAAAACCTATTAACCCCTTAAAAAAGAATTATCAAAATGGGTTCACAATCTGCGAAGATATCGCGTAACATACATACAAAAAAAAAATCATACACTCGAATTGAGAACCTCCTCCTTTTTGAAGTCGGTTAAAACAGAACAGATTAATGGAGCTGTTATTTCAAAGGAACAGAAACAGGTAGAACTGGTTTCTAACTTTACCATTTTTTTTTTAAATACTAGCAATGCTATTATTTAAATAATACATTACTAATATTCCCTTTAATCACTACTGGTAAGATTGAAATGCTTGCGTTAGAAGTGGTTCACGACAGTAGTTGAATGGCGGACTCGAACCCACGACCTTTTGAGTTCGCGGTCGGCAGGGATATCAGATCTACTGTCTCTTCGAATATAGCCCACTTCTAGTACGAAGCACCACATACCCGTAGTACGTTATTACACAACTCATTAATAAACAATGTAGTTTTAAGCTCGAACTCACCATCTTTAATATAATAGATGAGGCATTCTGATAGATTTGGGTCTTCATTGAGGTTAACGAGATGCGGCGTCTTTTTTGGCGAGTACACACCCACAGTGATGCCCTCCTTCACTGCGACCCCCATCTCGGCGAACACAGCCTCGCGTTGCACGCGGATCTGTTCTGTGCGCTTCAGTTTCTCTTCCCACGTTTCGTTAAGTTCTGTTGGCAAGGGTTTTATCGTAAAGAAGTCGCTATAGAACTATATTACAGTAAGGCTTACAGACGAGTACACAATTCACCTTATGTTAAATGCTTCCTGCCGCCATAGATACTTACATCTATCCTCGAATATGTAGCCTCTATCGAGCTACAATGCAGCTGTATTGTACCTCTCATAAAATATCAGCAAACTGCATAAAGCTACTGTTTTAAGAATGGTTAATTACGAGAGATGAACATGGACACACTTTTCACTGGTAATCAGGGATTCTATATTGGTTCTCTTGGATGACAACGTTGCTTTTAATAAGGGGGACAAACGAACACACAATTCACCTGATGGTAAGTAAATTATGTTTACATGCATCCTCTCTTAAAAGTTAAAATATTGTCACCCTTTATACGTGGTAGAGCCATGCTGCAGTTATATTAGTACTATATTTGTAGCACGAATGGGTCGGCTCGACCGGGGAAGGACCACGCTCTCACAGAATACCAGCGTAATAGCAGCTTAATGCTGCTATGTTTCGTATGGAGAACCAGAGACCTCTTTTTACTGGAAAAGAGGCATTCTATCTTAGTCTTCACGGCTGACAACGCATCTGCATTTTAATTTGCAAACGAAGATAGATGTAGATGTCTATGGGCCACAGCAACCACTTACCATCAGGTGGACTGCTCGTTTGTCACCTTTATTCTATAAAAAATGTTTTATAGTAACCACAGACTTAACTATTAATTGTACAGAGAATAATACAAGAAAGTGATATTTTATAACTTTTCAATTACTAAGGAAAGAAAAAGGAACCCTTTTCTGCCGGAGAGTCCGTCTGTGAAGGTCACACTCTTACTTACTTCTGCTGCTAAACAGCAGTGTGTGCACTGCCGTGTTCCGGTCTGAAGGCTATAGAATGCCAGTATAACTACAGGCTGTGAGGATCCTTTTTTGGAATTGATTGCAGGCGTCCATGGTCCGCAGTAGAATTACTATCAGGAAGACTGTGAGTTCATTTGTCACTTCAATTTTATAAAAATCATCGATATATATGTATACTACGCACTAGATTTCGCATTCCGAACATTGACATGTTCAACTCAACTGTACTGCAATCCGTACAAACTAAATATTGCGTAAATTGAAGATTTGTGAATTCCATAAGACAATTATTTATTACATTTTATTTAGAAATATGTTTGTTTAGATTAAAATAAGAGTATTTTATATTAAATTCTTTAATTTATTTTATATTAATATCTTATTTTATATTATCTCCCGCGCATGCGCGAAGACACAGAGTAGTGCACAATTTTTGTTTGGAATAACTTCTCTAGTACGTAATAGATATATAACACAATGATAAAAATGTACTGAAGCGGCTACAAACCACCTTTTTAGGTAAGCGACCACTCTAGTTAAAGACACATTCCACCAGTTCAGATGGTACTTGTCGGTAGTGGATTATTACGAGCTGATATACAGCCTTAGTCATGCTTGAAATTTTTTTTATTGAAATAAGACGATACTTTTGATCTGATATATCAAAAAATGAACCATTTGTTTGTATGACGGTAAAAATCTACTGAGAAATATCTGAAAAATCGTAAAATTACACGTAAATAAACACAATTAAACTAAGCCATAAATGATATCTAAACGAGATGCATTTTAGCTTAATGTAAGATCAAATAAAAAGCTCTATACCTGCAATGAGTTTCTCTGAAGCTTGCAGCTGGTCGACGGCATCTTCGGCTATGGTCGTGCCCGTTCGGGACAACTTCGGCGACATTAACGCTTCATCGTTCTTCTTGCGCGCCGGCGATGTATTCTCATCACCTGTTTCGTCACATTGTATTTACCACAGCAATAGACAAGGACACATGTTGTTATGGAGTATACCACTGCACAGATGTTGAAAAATTTGGAAAGAGTTATGCAGCAAATAATTTAAAACTTTAAGGCTCTACCTTTTAGTATTGTAATGAAAACCGTTATAATTAAAATGGATTCGTGGCAATAATTGATATTATGTATTTGTGTGTATAATTAGACACAACATAATTTCTAAACGGTATTTGGTGTATCAAGTACATTATATATATATATATAAAATTAATCAAACATCTTAGTTATTTTGGGTCGCATCTTAAATAAAATAAATAAATTTACGCCTGTTTCCATTTTTTAGTTACTAAATAAACAATTTTATAAGTAGCTAAAAAATTAGAAACTTCTGTCATTTTGTAATTTGAAAAAAAAAGCAAGGTAACCCAAACAATTTTGTGACGTATAATATAAAACATAAAATATAGAATAAATCACAAAGAAACTCGTAAAATTGTAACAAATGTGTGACAATGTAAGTAATGAGAAAATGTATTATTGTTTAAACCCGAAACTATTTAATATAATTTAAAATGAAAAGTTTTTTACAACCGACTTCAATATAAATTATACAGAATAACTCAAAAACTATTGCTCAGACATTGATCTTTAAATAAAATAAGAATCATGGAAATCGGTTCTCCCAGAAAAAAGTTATGAGGCAACACATAAAAACGTACAGTCGAATTGAGTACCTCCTCCTTTTTGAAGTCGGTAGAAAAACTAATCATAAGTTTCTCTGTAAATCAGAAACGATTTGCAGAAAAAAAAGTAAAAAACATTTTGTACAATTTTTGTCACATAGTAAAGGACCAAATTCTCCAACACCTTGAGTACATATTGAGTAACTTATTTTAGTTTTATCGGAAATGTATGTAGAGCTAAACAGTAAGTAAAAAACTATTCGTATATATGATATATATATATCCGTATATAATGATACATGCAGATGCTGACGAAGCTATAAAGCTTTTTTTATAGCAACATACATTGATATGAATAAATATCCGTTCGCGACCCCAGTTTGCCTTCATTAGATGAAACGTTTTAAAATTTTGTAGCCCTCAAAAAAGTTTTTATACGTAAATTGTTTTATTTGCAATGGTTGTTCTACTAAGTATGCCAATTATATATTTTAATGATCATGAATGGCCGCGAACGGTTCTAAAATGATAAATAATGGACTGAGCATTTTTACATTACTGTATGCCAATATGTATGTATGTATGTTGATAAAACCTTTGCGAAACCGTATACGTAAGAAATTTTAAAGTCCTTTAAAAATAACGAAATGCTCAGTGTTGCTGCCAACAATATAGGTACACAAAACGAAAAAAAAAACACATCGAATATATATTGTTCATTATATCTAAATGTAATAAAAAAACAGCACCAAAACAATATGAGAGATAAGCACTGTTATTGAACGTAAATAACAATTCACTTCATGTAATTGATAATTATGAAGTGATTAAATACAATAATATAATATAAAATACCTACAACGCCACAAGCACTGCATAAGGGTGCGAAATTGCTCATTCTTTCTCTGTATGTGTATGGGATTGCCAGAGGTATATCCAAAGTGATTATACATATTCTTGGATCCGGCAACCCAAAAAGGAGGCCAAGCGTACTGGTGGGGTGTACATAATATGCAATGCGCAAGCCTCTTTAATGTAATTACTTACTGATGGGCAGGTCTTTCTTTTCATAAACGACTCTACCATCCGGTCCTAGATCGGTTGGTTTTGAAAACAAAAGTTAAGATTTAGTATCAGGAATATCGTTTTTAATAAAAAAAGTTTGTGGCGTTATGTCGTTGTCTCTAGCATGGTTCTTTACATTCTATGTTCATAGACACATGACGATCTATCGGTTCACAAGACGACTAAGCAGCCTAATGTTATTGTTCAAGCAATGAGGTTGCTTTTAGCTTACCTTCCTCGACATCGATGCCTTCAGCTTTGAGAAGCTCACGCAATTTGAGGATCTCTTCTTTGAGCTCGCGTATGAGTTTTGCGTTAGCGTCTTCATTGACGACGGCTTTGCAGACGATCTGTTTGGCACGATCTGCATATCTGGTAAACGAAAATGAAATTTATAGTGGCAATTAGCATGATAGTGATAATTAATCGTAACAAAAAAAAACAGTTATTATCAGAAAGAATAGGCAATATTTAACAGAGATATGAAAACACGTGCATTAAATCCTTAACAATAAGCACAGGTTTTAATATCTTAAATCCTTTAATATAACGTATAACTGAAACTTATCACGGGTTGCCTCGATATATCTTTTATTTTCTCCTGGTTTTCATATGGTCATGTGTCAAACTTTTGTTTAAATTCTGAAAAATGTGTATTTTTGAAGCGAAAACTTCTCTAGAATCGTTGTGATTTGAAACTCGTCGAGACGAAAAAGCGATACTAAAAAGAGACAAACATACATCTATCTACAGCATTAAACCAAACAATGAGAGAATGAGATACAATACAGTATAAAGTGCTTATTACAAAATTTATTTATATCTGGGGCACAGCAGTCAATATATTAATTTAAAACATAAAAGATTTTTAATATTTATATGGTCACTATAAGATGTTGTTAAGTTAGCTAATTACGTAATAACTTGAGACAGAAGGACCCTTAAGTAGGAACTGAATAAATTAACTCACTTAGTATTACATGGATCTCACAAATTTTTAGGGTAGAAGAACTGACTTGCGAGACTTGGTTGTTTTAAAAGTTATGTTTTTGATGGCATTTTAATTACTTATACCCTACAATTATTCTACTCCTGATACTTTTCATTTGTTTTACACACCGCGTGTGAACTGCACAAATGTTTTTTTTTCATATCTTTACTATTTGCCGGAAGGAAGATACTAACGTCAATTAAATTGCATTGACTTGAACTTGAATATAATTATATAATTTACTTACCTAAGTGTGCTTAGCGTCTCATCATAATTGATATCGGCTGGCGAGATGGCGGCAATCATAGCTGTCTTCGAGTTGCCACCGAGGTTCTCTCGCAGCAGCCATGTCAACACGGAATCACGGTAGGGGATGAAGTCCGCCTTTTTAGATTTTTTGCTCTTTGATGCCTAAGAGATTAAAATATACTTAATAGCTTAAAAAAATCAATGCTTAAATAGTAAATTTCCTAATAAAGGGATATTTAAAAAAAATATTAAGAAAAAACATTATGCATGTGCAATTTTTATAATCGCTAAACATATTCTATATATTTCAAAGTTAAAATCTTTTTAGAAAAATAAAACTTATATATACTAAATTTAAGTGTAATGGTACATATTATAGATTTTTATCTAACAGCAATATTGTCAACCAATAGTTTTCATTAAAACTTGACCTAGTATAATTTATAAAATGACCGATTGGCAACGTTGATTACAAATTATTATAAGCAAAAAAAAAACCAGAAAGAGATAGCTTTATATGTTGTCACATTTTATTTTTCATTTAAATTTTATAATATGTATAAGAAATTCTTATTACAATTCTTGTACCTACCTTTAAAACATACTACGAAATAAACTAAAGCATGCATATATACAAAAAACAAACAAGTGAAGATATAAAACTATAGAGTTAAACTATGCAAACGTTTAGTATTTAGAAGCGAGAAAAATTTTAGAGACCAACGCTAAAGTTGCAGTCACAAAACTCATAATCTGTTCAAACAATACATTTTTAGTTTAAATTTTAATATTCGGTGCGCCACAATTTGAAATAATATTAGGGTAGCAAATAATACATTATTCATACTTAATAAGTGTATAATAATACTTAATATTTATAAATTGCTTCAAATGTGCATCGTTCTTTGAAAAACGCACAAAGCAAAACACACAAAGTATTTTCACAGAGAACTAGTGAAATGTTTAAAAATGAGAAAGTTACTTACCGACTACATTTCCGAATGGAAGTAACGCAATAAAAGTTTAGAGAACGATATGAGTAACAGTATTTTTATCAACTAGTAATAAAGCATCGGATTCTACAACAGAGACTTCTTTAAAAAAAATGGGTGAAACTTATAATCTTTTTCAAGTTTCAAGAAACAGGAGTGAGAGGGTTTTCTACCGACTTCAAAAAGGAGACGGTACTCAAATCGACTGTATGTTTTTTTTGTGTGTGTTACCTCATAACTTTTTACTGGGTGAACCGATTTCGATGATTCTTTTTTATTTGAAAGCTGGTGCTTTACATGTGGTCCCATACATTTATTTGACCTGATTAAATTTGACCAATACTTTTTGAGTTATTCTTAATAATTTATATTGAAGTAGGTTGTACAAAATTTTTAATTATTAATTATAATCTAGGTTATGTGACGTCTTTTTCTAAAATTGAAGAAATAACCAATAAAAAAGAGTTATAAAATAAATAGTAAATTTAATAGTGATAAAATAATCTAGTAGGTCTCTTTTTTATTTTTATAAGAGACCACTCCTGCTCTCTCTAGGTTAGTTACCACCCAACCTATTTATGCCGCCCTGCCGTTTCGTTCGTCGGTCTGAGTTTCCGGCTGAAGGATATAAAGAGCCAGTATAAAAGCTATAACGCCTCAGGCCTAGTCCTCGGAGGCGACAGAGCATCTGTAGCCTTCTTTGATTGAGGTTGGTTGCAGGTATCCATGGGCTGCAGTAGCCACTTTCCATCAGGTGAATTGACGACGATACGTTTGTCACTTCATCTTAATAAAAGAGACTGAAGAGTAGAGCATGTAATACCGGTATATCGTTATCGCAATTTCTCGAATTTCGCTCTGTATTTCAGTACATTACAGATGTAGTATACACAGAGTAGATTACAGATGCTAATTTCGCGGTATTAAAAACGAAGCCGGCATGAAACCGGAGGAGCAATGGGTAAATATCTGGGGACTGTGTATAACTATCTGCTAAGCAGTCCACCAACAAGCGTAGAAGCTAAGAGAGCATTTTCAGCTGCTGCATACCATATGTAATAAAATTAGAAGTTCTTTAAATTATGAGACAATGGGTATGCTTTGCTTTATACATAAACATAGATTATGGTTGTATGTGTGATTAATTGTAGTTATCTCATGTTAGTGTTTTAATTTGACTCACGTTAAAGATTTTTTACTCATGTTATTGTTTTAGTTAAACCGCCATTAAAGGATTTTTTTAAATTTCGCTATATCGTAAATTTAGCGATATTACAAGTTCCGATACCGCAATATTGCGATATTGAAAATATAATATACTGCGGCATTGCATGCTCTACTGAAGTGCTAATAGTCCACCTGATGGTAAGTGGCTAGTTGAGATGTGTATGGCAGTGGATTGTTTCTAGCTGACGAAGATTCGCTTTTGTTTTATCTTATCTTATGAGAAAACGGTTTAAATAATACTGTTTTGTTGGTTTAATTTAATTATACACTGGCTCCAGTACTTACCATCAAGTGGACCGTTAGTTCGTTTGTCATTTCAAATTATATGGATATACTCGTAATAGAAGTAATGCAGTTGTGCAAACCAAAGTTATTGTAAAATTTTAAATTAACATATATTTTTGTAAACGTTGTATTAATGTCCGGGTATTTTTTACCGACATCAAAAAGGAGGAGGTACACAATTCGACTGTATGTTTATTTTTATGTGTGTTACCTCATAACTTTGTTCTGCGTGAATCGATTTCGATGATTTTTGGTGAACAAGGTCTGACCAATAGTTTTTGAGATATCTTTAATAATATATATTGAAGTCGGTTGTACAAAATTTTTAAATTTAAATTATTGTATAGCTGATAACTATAATAAATTTCACTAATGTCTGAATATAGTAATGTAATAGTTTGAAGTATTTTTTTTAAATATTATAGTGACGCACACATGCTTCCAACTCAAACCAGAGAACGTTAAAGGTGTCAACCCTGAGATTAGATGAGATTAAAAACGCTTCACAGTCTATATTTATACTGACACTCAATACTCTTCACAACGGACTATAACAATGTTGACATTTATAATTGAATAGTTTTTTAAATTCCATATTTAAAAATAATTTTGCGGCATAAGTTTTAACGGCAATCATGTTCAAGTATTATTGGTTAGAAAAGTATGATGAACGTGTATATATATTCTGAATTAATAAATCAAAATTTTATACATTAAAGACTATTTAAGGTGAGTTTTAGAAAACATTAAATATACAGTACAGTTTAGTACAACTCAAAAAAGAATTCGTATAATCACTGAGAAAGATTCAAACACAAACTTTGTACACCCGAGGTCACGTCACGTTACATATATCTAAGTAGCATTCTATTCACACCATTGTCTAACATTCAATACTATTTCCTAAACCTCCACATGCACATTAAGGATTTAACTTACGATTTCGGCCAGCGCGGAGATAACTTTGCCGAGGGTGGTGAGCGACTTGTTGATGTTGGCGCCTTCTTTCAGACGCGTGCCCTTCGCGCCCGTGGAGTCTGCACGTTCCGACCCGGCCAGATCCACCAGTGATATTTTTGATACCTAATGAGGTTCATTATCATCAATATACATACATTATATCGATTTACTACATATCTAGGGCTACAACACCACTAACCACCAAATGGGATTGTGGTCAAGCACTGGCTTATAATAAGTAAAAAATAAAATAAAATAAAACATTTTCACATTATGCATAATTCGAAAAACCCTGTAGCTTTTTTTATTATTTGTCATAAAATATGTCACTTTTGTACACCGCTTGTAAACTGCTTTCAAGTGTCTTGTTAATCGTTTCAATTTTTTACCGATATTTTATGACATTCATTAAGACTCCACACAAAATTACGCAAAGTAGAATTTAATTTTGTGTGAATCAAGTTCAAATCTGAAAATTAACATATCAAAGATAATTAATTATCGTGCTAAGTGCAATATTCTCGATACAAAAAATCATAAAAATACCTCTATTTTTCGGCTATTTTAGATTTTTTAGAATTCAATAGGGTGCGGTTATTGGGGACAAAAATTTGATATACTTATTATACGAATGAGTTTAAATTACTATAATGTATGAGACATTAATTTAAAATAATTTTGGCGCATACATCATTTTTAATCTGTGAACAACATGGTCATCCATCTCAATCGCCAATTACTTAATGGTGATTGGCAATTAGTCACAACTGCTCCGTTGATACGAGGGTTTTGTACGAGCCCTTAATATTATCAACTCGTAAATACGAGTAATTCACTGTAGATAGTTTACCTTTCGCAATGAAGGAAAGATTCTTAAAATTGCACTTGGTAGATTAGCATTAAAAAGTAATAATAATCAGATTAAAAATGGATACGATTTTATGCGACAAAACGTTGGGATTTTGATTTTTAGGCGCTATTAGAACATACCTATGCTCAATGCGCTCAAGGCATGCAAAAGTCTTCTTGGGTAACTTTTTAATTAGTAATTTTTAACTCAACGCGCACTGATTGTAGACTTTAAGATTTGAGGAATACTGGACCAAAATATGTGTCTTAATTTTTCTAGCGCTTCCTAATCGGTTTGGATCCGACAATTGACCGTCGGACAAAGTTGGGCCTGACCTTGTCGCGCTATTTTTCCTAGGTTAAACGATAAGTACAAATTAACATACTTTAGCACTGAAATTATATTTTTTATAGGATACAGGTGACAAACGAGCACACAGTACACTTGATGGTAAGTGGTTGCTATGGCTCATAGACACGTTGCCGATACGTTGTCATGTCAATGCCTCGTTTCCAGTAAAATGAATCTCCGGTTCTTTACACTCAGCATACGAAACGCAGCAGCGTTAAGCTGCTATTTTTTACGCTGGTATTCTGTGAGAGCGTGGTCCTTCCCCTGTCGAGCCGACCCATTCGTGCTACAACTATACTACTAATATAGCTGCAGTATGGCTCTGCCACGTAAAAAATATTAAATAAATATTCTAATTGCAGGAGTTTCACTTTATAATAATACAAATTCTGAAATGTCGATCACCAATTATGTTTTAAATAAACCGAAACGAAACTCAGTCCTTTTTAATGTAATATTTTTTAATGTCGGTATACCTTTTCAGACATTAGATTGGTGGTCCTGTCGTGTCGCTGCTGCGTGAAGAATATAGTGAACACAGCGTGCGAGCGAGACGATGTCTCGTTCATGTTAGTCGCAGCGACCGTCCTGTAACAAGCGAACAAAATTTGTACCTAACATTAATTTTTATTTTGGTCTCTTTGTTTACCATGTGCAACTTCAGTATACTGGTTACTGGTGAATTTTTTATTTCAAAAATGGCGTAAAGGAATAAACACATGCAACCACATCGCTCTTTATTCATTCAGTTTTCATTCGACCTGTATGTTAATAAGTTAGCCAACAATATTTATTTAATTTAATGTATTTTTTATAGAAATAATAATAATAATGTAGACGTATAGATTATGGTTAACACTGTATGTCTTTACTAATTTCTATCTAGTCAGATTAATACAAAGAAACTATCTCATGATTCATTACAAAGCTAACTAAAGGTAATATTCTCCTACCGAGCCTTGTTTCCCTCGTCGATGAGGTCGTAGATGTCTTCGTATGAGGTTACGGCGAGCTTGCTTAGGTCCTCGACATAGGGGCCGAGCGCCGGGTGTTCGCGAACGCGCAAATTACCCTTGTTCTTGGGATTCAGAAGATCGCGAACCCGCTCGCAGTATATTTCCATATATGAGACTTCAACCTATAACAAACACAATATATCTTATAAAGAAAGCATAGATAAAAAAAAACAAAGAAAAATAAAAAAGTCAAATTTCATTTTGGAAACTTTTTGTATTACAAGTATTAAGTATGATCTGTCCATAGTTCACACTTTTAACCCATTTCATTATTAATTTCTTCTATAAAATATATTTCATATTTATTAAAAGTTTCTGCTTATTTATTATTAAATAAGATCTGAATAAACATTTCTTCGTATGGGTATTATTTACGAAGTTTCAATAAAACAAGAAGCAAATTAATATTGTAATAATATGTAAGACAGTTTTACGTAAAGGTACTGTTTATGAAAAAGTACCGTGTATAAGATTGATATGAATTATCTTACAGAATACTTGAGGTCATCGCAGGTAGTTTGTTTGATGCGCCGAAAGAGGTCTTTGCAGATCTGCGGGATAATGCCTTCCTGGCCATCCTCCCCGCGGCCCATCATTGTGTATGATTTGCCCGCGCCGGTTTGTCCGTACGCAAATATACATATGTTGTATCCTGCCGTGAAAAAGAATAATTAGTACTCTCTCCACCATTCAGCACTATAGAGCAAGATCCCCGGGCCACTAGACGTCACTTATTTTGTGTACCATGATTACCTGATACCTGGAAATGGCCCTCTGGTCAAGCTAGCAGGTAGAAATGCGACCATAGTACATACTAACACTACTCATTCATATAAATTTCGTTCGTCAGAAAATAAGTGACGTCTGGTGGCCCTGGGCCTTGGGCTACAATTATTGATGACGAGGTAAAAACAGAGCAAAGGAAATTGAACACTTTGAGTTGCAGATTGTTAAATTGTAATAGAATTAATTAGGTAATAAGCAACAACAAGACGACAAGCAACTTGTCACGGTTACGAGAGGACTATCGCTCTGTAACCATGGGTGCTGTAAAATGCTCGAAACGTAGGAATACATATAAATCGGGATTAATATACGCGATAAAATCCTTAATCACTAGTTTTATTGAAATAATACTTAGATGTTATGATGTTAATGCTATTTTATATATTATTAAAGTAAGTTAAAGTATGTGAATTTTATTTCATCTATTTAAAGATATAGTATTAAAGTGACTTACCATCAAATGCATGTTGTAACATCTCTTCTCCAATGTCTTTGTAGACCATAATTTGAGAAGAGAATTCGGGATCATTCGGCTGAAACAAAAAGAATAAATTAATTAAAAAACTGTCTGTCTCGTTTTAAGCATACTTGTAAGACAAGGATATGGACGTCAACATATATGATTTTACCAATTCTGATCACAATGCCATTAGCTCTACATTCAACAGTTTACCAAAGTCGAAGATTACAATATGATCAGTTGGCTATTTTGGATCTATCTAGATAGATAAATCGAATTGGAAATTGGTATTAATGTTCGTTATTATCACTTATTTCCATTAAAAAGATTTGAATTGATCCTCCGGTGCATACAGTTATATCGAATTTATACTTATATTATTTTATACAGATAAGCTGTACTTCTCTAATAATATTTGCAAAAAGATGCAGCTCTACTTGTTGTTTTAAAACATCTAAGAAAACCGTAGACATTATCACTATTATTAAGGTTTACATGTACTTTCTACCGACTTCAAAAAGTAGACGGTACTCAATTCGACTGCATGTTTATTTATGTGTGTTGCCTCATAACTTTGTTCTACGTAAACCGATTTCGATGATTTTTTTTATTAGAAAACTGATGCTTCACATGTGGTCCCATATAAATTTGATCAAGGTTTGACCAATAGTTTTTGAGTTATCCTTAATAATTTATATTGAAGTCGGTTGTACAAAATTTTTAATTTTAGATTATATTTGTGAAAGATGGTTTACATTGATATTTTATATTTATTTTCTACATCATCATCATCATTAATACACCGCCTCACAGCTCCACAGATAAGACATACCTAGTATTTTATACAAAAAAACATTATTTTGTCAGTTTATAGTTACAGCCTATTAAAATCTACTGCTGAACATTCGCCTCCAGGTCCTTCAAAAGAGTTACGAGTATTACCAAGGCAAAGTCAGAGCACATAGGCAGAATTGGCGAGAAACTAGTTCGACTTCCTTCGGGAACCCGTGCATTCTGGTCTCTCGCCAAGGCTGTCCAAGGGAATTTCTGTAAGCCATCACTACCATCTCTGCACAGGGAGGACGACTCACTGGCCCAAGACGCAAAAGACAAAGCCGACATTTTAGGCTCCCTTTCTGCGTCCAACTCTACTCTTGATGACGGGGGGAAACACCGCCGACCATCCCGCGGTGTGAGTGCTCCATGCCGGATGTGCTGTTCTCACAGCACTCGGTTCGCAAAGCACTCCTCTCCCTGGACATCCAGAAGTCGAGTGGGCCTGACGGAATCCCCCCAATTGTGCTGAGGACGTGTGCTCTGGAGTTGGCACCGGTCCTAACGCGTCTTTTCCGGTACTCCTACTCCCAAGGCGTAGTCCCGAATTCATGGCAGACAGCTTTTGTCCACCCGATCCCTAAAAAAGGCGACCGGTTAGACCCGTCCAACTATAGGCCTATCGCAATCACCTCCTTGTTCTCCAAAATAATGGAATCAATTATTAACTGCCAGCTCATGCGGTATCTTGAGGATCACCAGCTGATTAGTGACCGCCAATACGGTTTTCGTCGGAGTCGATCAGCTGATCACCAGCTGGTGATCTTCTGTTCTACCTGACCCATAGATGGGCAGAGGCAGTAGAGTCCAAAGGGGAGGCGTTGGCCGTTAGTTTGGACATTGCGAAGGCCTTCGATCGGGTTTGGCACAAAGCGCTTCTTTCGAAGCTCCCTTCCTATGGGCTTCCCGAGAAATTTTGCGATTGGATCACGCTTCCTTGCAGATCGGAGCATCAAGGTCGTTGTAGACGGTGCATGCTCCGACTACAAGCCTATTAACGCTGGTGTTCCACAAGGCTGTGTGTTATCACCAACGCTGTTTCTTCTGCATATCAATGATATGTTTCTAACTGGTAACATTCATTGCTATGCGGATGACAGCACTGGTGATGCTCTATACACCGGCCGTGCCAATATTTCTCGGCAAAACGTCGCCGAGTACCGGAACAAATTTGTGTCTGAAGTCGAGTCTTTGCTGAACAAAGTCTCGGATTGGGGGCGACTAAATCTAGTCCAGTTTAATCCTCAGAAGACACAAGTTTGCGCGTTTACCCGCTAAAAAGAACCCCTTTGTCGTATCTCCTCAGTTTCAAGGCTCTCCCCTTCTTGCCTCAGCCAGTATCGGAATCCTCCTAGTCGACATATCGAGTGACGTGCAGTTTCGTGGTCACTTGGAAGAGAAGGCCAAATTGGCCTCTAAAAAGCTTGGCGTGCTCAGCAGAGCGGGACAGTATTTCATGCCGGCACACCGCCTGCAACTTTACAAGGCGCAGGTTCGGCCTCACATGGAATACTGTTCCCATCTCTGGGCAGGGGCTCCCCAGTGCCAGCTCCTTCCACTTGACCGCATCCAGCGCAGAGCGGCTCGAATCGTCGACGACCGAGTCCTTTCCGATCGGCTCGATTCATTGGCACTGCGAAGAGATGTTGCATCCCTTTGCATTTTCTTTCGCATCTACCACGGGGAGTGCTCTGAGGAATTGTTCGGATTAATCCCAGCCGCCAAATTTCACGAACGCACATCGCAGCAGAACTCCCGATACCATCCACACGATCTGGATGATTGGCGGTCCACCACTGTGCGATTTAGAAGATGTTTTCTTCCTCGCATGACTTCCTTGTGGAATCGATTACCATCAGCGATTTTTCCGCACCGATACGACTTCTGGACCTTCAAGAAAAGAGCGTACTCCTTTTTAAAAGGCCGGCAACGCATCTGCGATTCCCTCCCTGGTGTTGCAGCTGTTCAAGGGCGGCGGTAGTCACTTACCATCAGGTCAGCCGCATGCTCGTTTGCCCCCTCTCCTATAAAAAAAAAGAAAAAACATAGGCCTCCCCATAGATTGTCTCATAGGGGGGACATTTGCCATAGTTGCCACGCTTTGCAACCGCAGTGTTTTTATTTTTAGTCGTTATAAGGAAAACGCTACTGCCCATCTCCTGATTTGTTTCGCTCTGTCGCCTTTTACGACACCCACTAGATTATATGAGGTAGTGGTTAGTCTTACACGGCTCATTTTATCATAATATTAAATTTAAATAGTTCAAGAAGAGAGACGTTGCGTCGCTATTCGGTATCGTACCGACCAATCAAGAAATCCGTTTCTTGATTGGTCGCTAATGTTAAAATACGAAAATTTTATTAGGGAAAACCCACCTTTTATTTTAGTACAAACGTAATAATATTACATATTAATTACAATAATGGAAAACCATTATAAGATTATAAAAATAACATATTAACATAAAAAAACACAGTGAATATGGAAATGGCTAGTGAAAAAGATGTGTGCGAACAATGTAATAACATTATCGTTCAATAAAGAAACCTTACAATACGGGCCATAGATAATCCTGTTGCGGTTAAATCCATTATACACCACGTCCGAAAAACGCAGTCTTAATGATTAGGGAGTCTTATTAATAACTAGCAATCCGCCCCGGCTTCGTCTACATAGGATATATTAATGTGGTGTTATTTAGACTTAAGATAGTCAAAGACCAATTATTTTATAAAATTTTGGTTAATTCAAAAAATCTTCAAGTTTTTTGGATAAAATATAGGCTGGATTCCTCCTGGCATGGCCTCTATCTGTTAGTAAAGTTTCATCGCAATCGGTTCAGCCATTTCGAACAGATAGACAGACAGAATTCCTTGAGCTAAATAGAAGCCAGTTACTTCAATATTACGGACAGACACTTCAATTTTATTTATATGTATAGATGATCGATAAACCCAATATATTATGTAGGATAGTTATTGGATACGTATAGGCGTGTGATGGGCGACGTCCCGTGGTAACCGTAGGAAGCAACTTTTGAGATATGGCAGAATTTTTTATGGCTTCCAATAGATGATTGTATAATTTTATAATCATCTCATATACAGCAAACGTAAAAGGCAGGAGGCGTTTGTTACTGCGATCTTCAACCCCTCTACCTAGCGCTCCTAAAACGGGAGAGGCCCTCCAGCAGTTAACTTTTACGGGCTGATGAACACATGACAGGCTCATGTAGAATTTTTTTTAATAGAATAAGTGTGACAAACAAGTATGTATCAAAATGCAGATTATGAAGTACGTAAAGTTGCTAAGATAGAAATAGAGAAAGCTAGGTAGATATAGTGACAAAAGTAATTTATGAAAATACTTTATTATACATTGAAGATGCAAATAGTGGACCAAATTGGCGATTCATGGAGATGAGAAAAATTAAGAGTAGCCTTAACTGATAAGCATGTATACGTAGGTATATGTATGTGAAAGAAACGAAAGGAGTTATTAGGATCGTGCCAAATTTCAGTCCGTAACTTCTGCCTACCCTCTGGGTAACAGGTTTTTTTTTATAGGACAAGGGTGACAAAAGAGCACACAGTCCACCTGATGGTAAGTGGTTGCTGTGGCCCATAGACATCTACATTTATCCTAGTTTGCGAATCAAAATGCAGATGCGTTGTCACCCGTGAGAATTAAGAAGGAATGCCTCTTTTCCAGTAAAAAGGGTCACCGGTTCTCTACACTCACCATACGAAACACAGCAGTTTACGCTGGTATTCTGTGAGAGCGTGGTCCTTCCCCGGTCGAGCCGACCCATTCGTGCTACAACTATACTACTAATATAGCTGCAGCATGGCTCTACCACGTTAAAATACAAATATCATAAGAGTTTATGTTATGATATTTTTTTATAAAATATATCATCATCATCATTACAGCCCTTCACAAGTCCACTGCTGAACATAGGCCTCCCCCAAAGAATGCCACAAAGCACGGTCCTGAGCCACCTGCATCCATCGACTTCCTGCATATCTAACCAGGTCGTCACTCCATCTAGTGGGGGGACGCCCTACACTTCGCCTGCCGGTACGAGGCTGCCACTCGAGAACCTTTCTTCCCCATCGGTTGTCGGTTCTTCGAGCTATATGGCCGGCCCATTGCCACTTCAGCTTACTAATCCGTTGGGCTATGCCGGTCACTCTAGTTCTACTGCGGATATCCTCATTTCTGAGTTTATCACGCAGAGAAACTCCGAGCATAGCCCTCTCCATAGCTCGCTGAGCGACCTTGAGCTTCCTCATCCGGCCAGCAGTGAAGGACCACGTCTCAGTTCCGTATGTCATCACTGGCAACACGCACTGGGTGTACAGTCTCGTTTTCAAGTTTTGAGGTATACCTGACGAGAAGATGTGCCGTAATTTCCCGAACGCTGCCCAACCGAGTTGAATCCGTCGATTGACCTCTCGGTCGAAGTTGGACTTACCTAGTCGGACTATTTGTCCCAGGTAAACATACTCGTCAACAACTTCGAGCTTAGTGTTCCCAACAACTACCGGCATAGGTGTGACATGGACATTAAACATGATCTTTGTTTTGTCCATGTTCATCTTAAGACCTATCCATTGGGAAACACTATTGAGGTCATTGAGCATGGTGCTTAGGTCCTCCAGCGATTCTGCCATAAGGACTATATCGTCGGCAAATCGAAGGTGAGTGATGTACTCGCCATTGATGTTGATACCGTATCCTTTCCAGTCCAGAAGCTTGAAAACATCTTCCAATGCAGCGGTAAAGAGTTTCGGGGATATGACGTCACCCTGTCTTACACCTCTCTGCAATTGGATAGGTTTCGTACTCTGGTTCTGTACTCGGATAGCCATCGTAGCCCTACTGTACAAGCACTTCAACACTTCGATATACCGACAGTCAACTTGGCATCGCTGAAGGGACTGCAGCACCGCCCAAATTTCGACGGAATCAAAGGCTTTCTCATAGTCCACATACGCCAGACATAGTGGCAAATTGTACTCCTCGGACTTCTGTACAATTTGCCGAAGGGTATGTATGTGGTCTATGGTGCTAAAGCCTTTTCGGAAACCGGCTTGTTCGGGAGGCTGGAAGTCGTCAAGTCTGCGCGCTAGACGATTCGTAATGACTCTCGAAAACAGCACGTAGACGCGGCTCAGAAGGGAAATCGGTCTGTAGTTCTTCAAGAGAGCGTTGTCGCCTTTCTTGAAGAACAAGACCACCGCACTTCTGCTCCACGCCTCCGGTGTAATGCCACCATGGAGGACGGAATTAAAGAGCTTCTGAAGGACTTCAAGTACCGGTTTTCCACCCGCTTTCAGAAGCTCCGCTGTAATTCCATCCTCGCCTGGGGCCTTGCCGTTTTTAAGGTGCTGGAGAGCCATTCTAATCTCGCTCAGACTGACGTCCGGGATATCATCGGAATAATGTCGGATAAGACTCGCTCTTGGATCGTTACTCACACTTGCGTGCGGCTCCAACGATGACGTGTACAGCTGCCCATAGAACCTCTCAATCTCACTCAAAATCTCAGGTGCCCCGGAAACGATGCTGCCACATTCTGTCTTCAGCTTTGCCAGTTGGCGCTTTCTGGCAGACAGATCTCTGGCAAAGACTTTGGAGCCTTGGTTCCGCACGATCGCTTCTTCAATACGAGCTGTATTGAAGTTGCGTAAGTCCCCCGCATGCATTTGGAGATCTGTCTGTTCAGTTGCCTGTATGCTGTCAAATCTGTTGAAGAATGTAGCTTCATCTCCCGTCTAACAGCCATGAGATTAAGAGTGTGATCGGAGAGTTTTTGTGTTCTTCTGCGGCGGGTCTTGCAGAACTTAGCTCCGACCGCATGGACAGTTTCCACGAGCTTGTCATTCAAACATAAAATAAAATATAGTACATATATTATTGCCTTTTCCATATTTAGGCTTGCTTTGCTCTGATCAATGTAAAAAAAATTGCCAAATTAATACATTTATTTTTACACAGTACGGATTCATTTTGATAGTTACGCCTTGAAAACGCAGAATTCACTTTTTTAGTAATTACGACTATTCCTTTCTTCTTTTATTTTGAGTGTTATGGTCATATGCTAAGGTTTTATAAAATTTAGAATAGAATGTAGAACATAATTTTATTAAGTGTTAACAGGTCACATATTTGATACAAGTCGGTTTTTAAAAAAAAGGAAATGTTTAAAATGCATGACTTCCAAAAGTGATCTATGTGACCGTTCGACTTCTAGAAATTTAGTTTTTGTTGCTCCACATTACAAACAATCATATCAAGGACGAAAAATTTATAATATATATGTAATATACGTTACTCAAAAAGTTTTGAACGCGGTTCTCAATTATCTTATATCTACATACAATATTGTCTCTAACTAAACCGATTACAGTGAGCAATCTACATTTCCATTATGTTTTCCATCTCCCCTATATTGACAGAGGAAATTTGAACCGCGCGACGTGGGCGGGCGACAACTTCATAGTATTATGTTTGTTATTGATTCTGAATGTGGCTCGGCCAGTGCACAAACAGACCACAAACACGATCGTAATGAAAATGACGAGAGATACAAATCTCATACTTACTTTAGAATAAATAAATCAGCATTTACAAAATTTGCTCACATTAAAATATATGTCTTTTTTAAATATGTCTTCCAACGAGTTGGACTCAACCGTAGCGTTAACCGTAGCGCTTAACACTGCTGTGGTTCGTATGGTGAGTGTAGAGAACCGGCGATCCTTTTTATGGGAAAAGAGGCATTCTATCTTAGTCGTCACGGGTGACAACGCATCTGCATTTTGATTCTTTATTGAGGATAGATGTAGATGTCTGAGCGCCACAGCAACCACTTACCATTAGGTGGACTGTGTGCTCGTTTGTCACCCTATCCTATAAAAAACCATAAATTTAAGGGAAATATCACGCTCTCAAAGAGTAAAATAGCAACTTAATGCTGATCAGTTTCGTATGGTGAGTGTGACAATCCTAAAACCCTTTTAAATAATAACAACAAGGCATTCTCTCTTAGTAACGAATCTACATTTTGATTCTTAATAAGAGGACTTCTTGATGTAGTTTTATAAGAGCCACAATATCTACTTACCATCACATGGATTATGTGCATCAAAGAGGTCTAAGATAGAATGCCTGATTACCAGTAAAAAAGAGTCTCCATGTCTCGTCACTAACCATTTTTAAAACAGTATCTCTATCTCAAATAAAAATATACAAATATATAAACAGTTTTTAATTTTTTTATCTATTACAAATAAATAAAATTGAAGTGTCTGTTTGTAATGTCAAAATAACAGCTTTTTACTAAATGCATATGAAAGTACATACGGTACTTATAAACAAAAACACAATTTTTTAAATTTTTGTCTGTCTTTCTGTCTGTCTGTCTGTTTGTTACGGCTAATCTCCGAAACGGCTGAACCGATTTCGATTTCACTGGCAGATAGCTGATATTATAAGGAGTAACTTATGCTACTTTTATTTTAGAAAAAGAATTAGGGTTCCTCGCAATAAAATTAAAACCCATGAAATCCAATCGTAATAAATTACACGCGGGCGAAATCGCGATGAACAGCTAGTATTATAATAATCTTTTAAAGTACGCTACAGTTAACCATGTCTGGGTCCATCACCATCTTACTTATATTCGCCGCTACACTGTTGTACTCTAAAGGGATTTAGAAAGCCAATATAAATACAGGATGGTGTCAGGCATTGCGTCTTAGTCCACAGATGTGACAATACAGATGTATTGTCACATCTGTGGACTAAGACAACATATGTGTGCAAGCAACTTCAAACATAGAAGTTTACAGATGTAAACTTCTATGTTTGAAATTGCTTGCAGTTGGAGATGCATGAAAGACAGGTGGACTGTAAGCTCGTTTGTCACTTTGATTTTATTTACAAAAAACATAATAACATGAATATGTATAATTTTGCGAAATAATACTTACGTTATGTGACCAGTACGAGAAATCAAAGTTGAAGCTTTTAGCACCCTCTTTGTTGCCAGGCGGAGCTTTCGGGTTTAGTATAACTGTAACAAAGAAATAAGAAGATTATTTACGTTGTCAAGCTTTTTGTCATCTTATTTTACAACAGATGTCGACGTCTTAGGAAATTTCAAAGATTTATAATATTATATTTTAATATTTTTAGGTTTTTTTTTATACATCCAGCATCCAGTCAACTAATACCGAATGCTTTCTTTTTTTCAAGCTTAATCATTCAAATTTGTTTTATAGCAATAAATAATAACAATAATATAGTCCACGTGTGGACACAGAGCTGTCCCGTATGGTAGTAATCTCTTGCTTGACGGGTCACGATCATTATACTGTAATACATTCGATGAAAAAATTGAGACAAAAAGTAAGCCATAAACATAATGCAATGATTGATTGAATTGCAATGAATGAATAATTTGCTTCAATATGAATTTAAAAAATGGAATGTACCTATTCTATCTTTTTAAATTCATATTAAGGCAAATTATACACGACAATTACTGACATTAAAATTAAAAATATTGTACAACAGACTTCAATATAAATAATTCATATTTATATAGGACCATATGAGAAGCACCAAATTCAAATAAAAAAAGAATCATCAAAATCGGTTCACCTAGAAAACAGTTATGAGGTAACACACCCCGAATTGAGTACCTCCTCCTTTTTGAAGTCGGCAAAAATACACTAGATGAATCTTTTAAGTGTGCTCAGGCGAAACAGACAACGACTGTCGGTGTAAAAAACTATTTCAGTAAAAATCCCTCTGAAATATTTTAAGATACTTCAGACGCATATGTCAAAAATAAAGTGCACTCAAACAAGTGAAAACTCGCAATAAAATCTACGTTTGTACATGTGTGCGTAATGAAGGAGGCGGTACTCTGTCAGTCGTAATAAAAGGATAGAATTTGTATTTGTGCGCGCACTGGAGAAGGAGAAGCTAAGGTGTTGGAAGGGCGCGTGCCGTCGGTTCGTCGCGACGTATCGACCGACGGTTACGACATAGCGTCGCGTTTCCACCTACACGTAGATATCTTGAAGTCTACAAACATCGTTAGGCTTTGTGTGGGTAATACTATTTTTGGGATTAACAAAACTTTAGCAGTTTTCACCAAAGATTATTTTGAATGAAGATTATTTTCAAACTAAAAGGCAAAGTATTATCAATTACATTTATCCTTAAATTTTGTTTCTTTCTTTATTCAAATGCAAGACGACGTTAATTTAGTAAATTTGTTGGTTGATCGAAGAGTAAATGCTTAAATTCTCTCTCCATTTCTCTCTCTCTTTCTCTCTCTCTTTCTCTCTCTCTTTCTCTCGCTCTTCACTAAATAAAAATATAGACAGATATTAGAAATAATTAGGTACTTGATTTATGTAAGCGATAGTCAACAGATATAGGTAAGCTCATATATATTTACCGACAATTTTTTTCAAAATGAAAATTGTGTGATACAATATAGACTAAGTATACTGTTCAGGAATAAACTATATAATATGACAACATGTATATCGGTAACGATTCATTGTTTCCGTTTCATTTATAATAGCATCTTTGTAACTCTATGACCTCTAGTCAATGGTCACAATCACAATCCTTCTGTTGTTAAGAATACCGACTTACTTTCACCATGTAATTAAATAATAAAAGTATTTAGTTTTAATCATCTCCACATTTTCTTTCCCAACGTATGTGATATACCAACTCTATTTTTCCATCAAATTTTATTAAAGAACCAACTTTAATAAATCTATTAAAACAACCAAATACAGTTAGAAAAGTATCCGCGAGTGTAGTTATCGCTGCTGATGACAACTTGCTGATTTTTTTTTTATAGAATAGAATGGAATAGATTTTTTCAACTTAGGTTATAAATACTCCTTATTGCAAATCTTTTTTTTACCACAGGTTCGGAAAAAACCTTTGTGTGTGTGGCATGGCACAAAGGCTAACCTAGTCTTTTAACGAGGAAACGCAGCCAGTTATTTAGTTTTCAGTTTTTTAAATTTTTGTATAAAAATTATATTACTTTATCAAGCAGATAACACAAAAAAGCATATTTTTCAACATTAAAACGCAAAATTAGAGAAATAATCCGGATGGACCTAGTTCTCTCAACTAAAAGAAGAAGTAATCCTTAAAAAAATCCTTTTTGCTGTACATGTGAAAGCTCAATGGATATACGCACATCTTAAAATTTCATTTTACGCGATTAATTAAACCATATTCGATTCCCACAAGAAACAACGAATTTTAAAACGCAGTGAAGGAAAACATCGATAGGAAACCACATTTATTTTAATAGAATTAGATACTAAAAAAAACCGCAGCGCGGCGGACTTCCTTTCCCTAAACCCTTCTCAGTAATGAGACGAGGCTAGTGTATAACATTTCCGAATTATTTTTCTCTAATCATGTACATATTTATCTTAAATACGAATACACACATAGATATTACTCGTATATGTGATCTGTAACGTTGAGAATGGTGATCTGCTCAACTATTAAATGTAACAAATTCATGGTACTCATTATCGTCATCATCATTATAATAGACCTTCACAAGTTCAAGCTGTTAAACATTAGGAGGCATTCTTCCAATAAATGCCACAAAGGCGGTCCTGAGCTAACATCGGCTTTCTGCATCTCTTACAAGTTTGTCGTCCCATCTAGTGAGGGACCGCCTTACACTTCGATTGCCGATAGATACGAGGCTGTCGCTCGAGAACGTTTCTTCCCCATCAGTGACGGGTCCATTATTTCAGCTTGGTGATATCGTAAGGCTATGTCAATTACTCTAGTTCTACTGCGGATATATTTTTTTAATAGGATAGGGTGACACACGAGCACACAGTACACCTGATGGTAAGTGGATGCTGTGACCCATAGATATCTACATTTATCCTAGATTACGAATCAAAATGCAGATGCGTCGTCACCCATGAGGACTAAGATGGAATGCCTCTTTTCCAGTAAAATGTGTCTCCAGTTCTCTACACTCACCGTAAGAAACACAGCAGTATCAGCTGCTATTTTACGCTGGTATTCTGTGAGAGCGTGGTCTTTCCCCGGTCGAGTCGACCCATTCGTGCTGCAACTATCATATTAACATAGCTGCAGCATGGTTCTCCCACATACAAAAGTTATCGGTTCTTCCAGCGATATGATCGGTCCATTGCTTCAGCTTGCTGATATCGTTAGGCTATGTCAATAACTCTAGTTCTACTGCGGATATTCTCATTTATAAGTCTATCACGCAGATAATCTCCAAGCACAGCCCTCTCTATAGCTCATAAGTACCATGGTACTCATACAATAGTTATTTCTCCAATCTTTTGTAAATACATTGCACGACTAGTATCATCTATAAATAAGTATTTCCAACAAAACTATGAATTTAAAAATATTAAAGGTCTGGACTCAATTCCACTTTTTAGCTTTTATGAGTCATGTAGTTGCTTGCACTTGCTTGCTCACTGCACCGAGGGTACAGAGTTATGGACTATCCTTTATTACAGAGCTATCGTTAAACGACCGCGCAGGGAACTATATTAATGTTTGTTTCACTTCCTACAACTCATCTTCAGGAGTGTAGGGGGAGTTAATAGTGTCCGTGTTTATGACAAAATTAAACTTTTAAAGTTAGATTTTATGGACCACGTCAAGAAAATTTAAAGATAGTAGGTGTAACGCAAGAAAATATACCAACTATTTTCCTTCGTCTTTAAATTTTCTCTTCTTTTTTATTTCCCTTACTTCCCTACCATAATATGATAAATGCAAAAGTGAGCTTCTTAGTTTGTCCTTATTTCACGCAACAACCGGGCAACTGATCGACATGATTTTTGCATAGAAATTTAGATTCAGATTATTCAAATGTCTGGAAGTAAATAAAAACTGATTTAAAAAATTAAATTCATGAAAACATAGATACTCGTAATACAGGTCAAACCAGGTCAAACTAACATAAAGCTTGTAAATAAAAAAGTAACTATTGTAACAATTTTTTTAATTATTTCTTATTTAATCTCTAATTCTTTGTAATATTCAAACACTTGTATAAAAGTACCAAGAATATTCAAATTATTTAACCTTATTTTTTACAACTACTAAATTTAGTAAAAAAAATTATGTAAGGTAAAAGATTAAATAAAATTAAATTTGTAAAAAAAAGTTGTTACATCAGATATATTTTAAGCAAAAAATGTGAAACATACAAGTGACGGCTACGTGGCGCAGTGGCTTAGCAATAAGTTGCAGTGCTAAGGGCCGCGGGTTCGAATCCCGCACGGAGCAAGTATTTGTATGGCCTACAAATAATTGTTCTGGGTCTGTTCTATGTATGTAAACTGCCCCCGCGATACAGAAGAAAATCCTAGTGTGGAGGTAACGATTTTTAAAAAGAAAGGAAGAGATACAAGTAATGAAATTGAAAATTTTGTACAACCGACTTCAATATTAATACGCATCATTAAGGATAACTCCAAAACCACTGTTCAGATGTTGATCAAATTTATATGGGATATATAAATTATAAGCACCAGCTTTCATCAAAATCGCTTCACCTAGAAAAAAGTTCTGACGTAATACATATAAAAAAAACACGCTTTATATTAGTTACTGCCTGAAAAATTACACGCTTTGTGTTTGACCTGTATTTATTTATACCTGGTAGAGATCGCTTGTAAGCGATAAGGACGCCAATTGTACCTTTTTTAATTTGTATTTTTTCTGTTATTTATAGGTGTACTATAACGTATATACGTACATAGATAAATACTATTTATGTATGTAATTAAATTTTATAAACACTGCTGATGCATTATAATTGATAAAATGAAAATGTTTATTTATTCTATATATATTTTTTGTAATCAATAATTATTAAGTAGTAGTAATGAAAATATTTATTTATTCTATAATATTTTTTTGTAAAATTGAAAAAGAACTATCAGATAAATGTATGTATATGCACTCGAATTATCGTAATTAAATTAGAGACTAATTTTTCTTTCATTTTCA